CTATATTTAGTGCATGTTTGCTTGATTTCTATGGAAAATATCTGTATCAATAAAATTTTAGTTATATATCATTTTAAATTAAAAAAAAAACTTAATGTAAGAACATATATATAAACTCGCGATTTGATAATGCTTTATTATTCATTTATAAATAACTTTATTAACTAGGGTAATTAATACCTTCGTGCACTATATAATGCTTGATGTAAATATTTCGAGTGCCCGTGCATAGTGAAAGGGTTCAAATTAAAACTAGTTTTATTATTATTATTTTTTTTTTTATGTACAAGAAGTTCAATATATAACATGTATTAAGTTTATTTATTTATATTTATTACTCAAGTTAAACTTATTAGATTTCAATTATTTAATAATCCATTTATCAACAAACGGTTTGTTAAAATGAGTAGTAGTATGGGCCAGTCTCTCAAACCTTATATCTGATTTTAATCCACTAAATTCACTTTTTGTAGGGTTTTTTCTAATCATAATCTTCAAAGTCTTATAATTTAACAAGTTAGGCCAAGACTTACTTGTGGATAGGGATGTAAATAGACTGAGCTTTGGCTTAAATATGTTAGATTTGTGTAAAATATTTTAGGCCTGACATGGTCTGTTAGCCTGTATAGGCCCAAATTATAAGTATGACATTACCTATATTTTAAAAACAAAAGCATTTGCCTAGGCCTGTTAACATGTTTAAGCCTATTAACATTCAATAATCAAAAAAATAATTAAAATAGGGATAAATTATTTATCTATCTTTTTTTTCGCCTACCATTGCCTACCACTCTCCAATGTAGGCGTTAGATCAGAATCTCAACTAACATTATCATTTCTTTCTTCTCTTGAGATTCTGATTTAACGATGTCAGAGAGTGGTAGAAAAATGTAGGCAAAAAAAGGGATAGGTACCTATCTCATTAAAATAATATTATTTTATTACTCAAAATCTTTAAATAATAATTTTATTTATTTTATTTAAAACAAATAATATGATATAGGCCTACCTGTAGGCCCGACATATAAAAGAAAGCATATGGCCTGCTTTTTAAATAAGCTTTTTTAAAAGTCAGATCCTGTTCTATTTGACTATATATAATAGGCTGAGTCTGACCTAATGTAGACTGGCCCGTAGCCCCTGTTAGGTCGCTTGGCCCATTTATGGCCCTACCCGTGGACCAAATTTTTTTCTATATCAAGATTTTTATAATTTAAAAAAATAATATATATATATATAGGGGCAGGATATTCTTACACCAGTGTAAGAGTTAGAAGTCTTACACTCAATCTTGACCATTGATCCACTTGTATCCAATGACTTACATTACTAAAAAATGTGAACCATTAGATATAAGTGGGATCAGCGGATAAGATTAAGAGTGTAACTTACACCGGTGTAAAATGATCCTAAGCCATATATATATATATATATATATATATATATATATATATATATATATGGGAAAATGGTGTATCATTTTTTTTTTTTTTTGATAACAAAATGGTGTATCATTTTAAAGGATGTAAAATTGTGTCATTTTAAGTGAGAAAAAAAGATAGATAAAGGGGGAGAGAGAGTGGACAAAAAAATAAAGGTGTGGATCCCACCTTTTTGTGAGAGTGAAATGACACCAGTTGTGTCATTTAAAATGACAAACATTTTCTCTATATATATATATATATCAGAAAAATGTTTCTGCAGTTACTGCATATAAATTATCTGCATTTACTCCCAAAACGACGTGGTTTTGGTGTTGAAATATTAAAAAATTATAATTACAAAGACTATTCTAACCCAGAAATAAATTAAAATTACAAAACACCTTGATTTCCACCCCAAAACGACGTCGTTTTGGACTCAATACAGATAACTTATCTGCATTTATTGCAGAAAAAATGAACCCTATATATATATGGGTTTGGTGTTTGTCATTTTAAATGACATAAGCTATGTCATTTTAGGAGAGAGATAGATACAGAAAAATGGAAATCATGGGAGAGAGAAAGTGGATGGTTTTTTTTAATTTAAAATTTAAATTTTCTGTGTCTGTATCTCTCTTAAAATGACATAACTTTCTGTCATTTAAAATGACAAACAATTTTTCCTATATATATATATACAGGGGAGGGATCATTTGACTCCAGAGTAAGATTTAAAAGTCTTACTCTTCATCCCAGCCCTTGATTTCCGTTCATCCAACGGTTATCATTTAGTAATTTAATGCATTAATTAATTATTAATTTCAAATAAATGATAACCGTTGGATGAACGGAAATCAATGGCTGAGATGAGGAGTAAGACTTTTAAATCTTACTCTGGAGTCAAATGATCCCTCCCCATATATATATATGGCTTTGCATTTCTTATGCAATAGGAGAGGAGGAGTGATTCCTGCAGATACAACTCAAGTGGGCCCCACCAATTTTAAAAACATAAAAAAACAAAAAATATAGTTATGTTTTTTGATGTAAGAGTGACATGAAGATAGTATTTTCCTTGCAACATGTTGCAGAAGTCATTTTTTCATATATATATATATATATATATATATATATATATATATATATATATATATATATAGGGGAGGGATCATTTGACTCCAGAGTAAGATTTAAAAGTCTTACTCCTCATCCCAGCTCTTGATTTCCGTTCATCCAACGGTTAACATTTAATAAGTAACAACAATTAATTAATTATTAATTTTAAATAAATGCTAACCGTTGGATGAACGGAAATCAAGAGCTGGGATGAGGAGTAAGACTTTTAAATCTTACTCTGGAGTCAAATGATCCCTATATATATATATATATATATATATATATATATATATATATATATATATATAAATATAAGACTTGTTATTCTTATTCTTACACTATTATAAGAATAAAAAATTATTAATTTACTTGTATCTAATAATATCCAAAATGTAACTTATCTGCTAAGATAATATGAATCTGTATGTAATTCAGCACTAAGTTACCAAAATCATAGATTCATGAGAGAAATTAATGGAGTTCGATCCCTGTTTCCATAGGGACGTAAAGTAAACCCACTCTTGAAAAGCTATCAAGGAAACCCGATTTCACATGGTGCGAAAGAACTACATATCTATATTTTAAAGGTCCAGTCTCTTTTTAAGAAGAAGGTGCATATCTATTTGAAAGAACAACCCCGAAACGAAATCTGCTCACTCTGTCTATTAAAATGCGAGGACACCTGCCATGAAGTCTCTACTTTTCTATTGCTACAAGTCTACAACGAAATAGCTGTTGATATGCGTCATGGTTATAAAGGTCACAATTATTGCCGTAGAACAAAAATAAAAAAAATAAAAAAGGATATAGTTCATAGTATAGTCAAGACAAAATCTTTAAATATTATTCCTAGCGGTAGATTCCATAAATTTAGCTCATATCATGGTTTTGCATTGGTAAACGCATATAAATATTCTTTTACGTAACATTCATAAACATGAAATGAGTGATTAACAGAGCTCGAATTAAGTGTAAAGGAATACAAGATGCTGTTATTAACCACGACGGGAGCAGCAAACAAAATGACAATGGCATAATATCTGATTGTGAAGCTGTCATATATAGAAGGCACCAAAGTAAGATGCACTTCACTTTGGGTGTGATTAGTTGATTGCCGATTTTGATTATTGTCTGTGAAGTACGACGCAAAGTCAATTTGGATAAATAATTGGTCGGGAATTTGCTTCGAGTGGAATGTACATTGAATGAATGTGGATAATTATTTATTTATTGGAATTGTGATCTAAACGTAGGAGACTTTTCATTTTATTTGTAACCGAAAGTTTGATGCATGCATCTACGTTTTGTAAGTAAGAAGACGAGACATTGAAAGGCCAAAGTAGCGGTCCAGGTTCAGTGCAATCCCCATTGGAGAGGGACAAGAGAGCGGCATTTGCTTCTTCTTTTTTTTCCTTTTTAAAATCTGGTACATACGGAGGCTGGAGCCTAATCAGTTAAATCCCTACAATTTTATGGGTTTCAAATCAAGCTTGTTTGCAATTTAACTTCGGCGCACAAAGGGTCATGGTAATTATATAAGTTGGTAACTTTTAAGCATTACAAATTGCCAAGAAAAGTGGATGACTTCAATTAGACTTTGAAAGACTAAAAATGTTATTAAAGCGAAGGAATAGTAAAACAATGCCTTTTTTTCCCGCTTAAAAGGCTTTTCGTTTTATTTTGGTAATAAACCTTCAAAAATAATTTTGGAAGAATTACAGTTCTAAAACTCATCAAAATATTAGCTTCTTTTTTAATAATAAAGCTATAAGCCTATAACAATAGTTTAAAGTTCAAATTTAGAAAAATCAAATTTGGTTTGGTGGTACAGGGCTACAGGCAACTCTGCAGGTCGTAACTGCTTCTCACAAATTTTAAAGACACCAGCCCTGGTACAGGTTTTTTTTTTTGAAATATAATAAAAAAATTTATCATGAAAAATAATAACTGCTTAGGATAGCTATTTATGAAAGGTACGATGTTTCTCTTTTTAGAAAAATTATAAAGTTATGTTATTTTATAAAAGAAAAAAATACAAGAGAAAATAAGTGATTTTTTAATTTAAATTTTAAATAAAAAATATTAATTTATGCATTTCTCTTTCTTAAAATAACATAATTCTATATCTTTTAAATAAATAAATATTTTTCCCTTTATGTAAATTATTAGATTCTGTATAATAATGTAGAGTTAATTTTTTTTTTCAATCAATGAAGATAAATTATCTATATTGATTTCAAAACGACATCATTTTAAGATGAAAATTAAAGTATTTTTGTAATTATAATTTATTTCAGAGTTATAATAATCTTTCTTATTATAATTTTTAAATCTTTAACCTCAAAACGATATCATTTTGAAAGTAAATATAAATAATTTATCTACCTTCACCGTATAACATATTTTACCGTCTATTGTAATTCCTTTATTTGAAAAAAAATAATGAAAAAAGAAGTGGGGAATGTGGAATTCAAACCTGAAAACTAATAAAAACAAATATTAAAGAAGGAAAAAAAAAAGGAGAATAAAAAAAGAAACACCTGACGCGATATTATACCATGAGGGATAAGGCTAAAAAACAACGCGGGTCAACTCGAAGTTTTCACGGTGGAGTCAAGCGGAGCCAAGCTGAGTAGGCGGCGGCGCACCACCGTCGAGAAGCTCGGTGAGAGCCGTCATCGCACGCACTTGCATCTCCAAGGCCGATATATAGTCAGTGACTTCTTCCAGAAGATTCGGCAACGACGCCTTCCGGCAACCGGGGACTAACCTGCTGAGAACGCGCGCTTTCTTCTGCACCGCCGGTAACCTTCTCCAAATATCCGGAGTCCTCTTCTTCATGAATCCGTTAGCGGCCTTCTTCACCTTCTTGTGCTGCCTCTGCAACTGGAGCGGACTCGCCAGAATCGCACGGCTCCACCGAGTTCGGCCCTTGGCCGTCGCGGCCAGAACTCGGTCGGCAGCTTCGCGAACTTCGCGGACGGCAATCGACTTGGACGGCGGCGGATGGCTCCGGCGGAGAGTGTCGACGAGCTTGGAGGAGTAGATCCTCTGTTCGGCTTCTGATCTCCATGGAATGAGACTGAGAGAATTGTGATCTATGATTTTCCGGCGCTTCATGCGATTGGATTCTTGCAATGTATCTGAATTACTGGAATCGACGTTTGGTTGCAAAGACGCCATCTATCTATGTATTTAGACTTGTAGTATTGGCATATACAATACTGACGACAATGGAATACAGATGGAAAAGGAAGGGAAATGATTGGATTGTTGTGAAAAGAGAGAAGATGAAAGCGATGATTGATTGCAAATATTCTTAATTGGAATGAAGAATCAGCAAAGAAGAAGAAGAAGATGGTATTGATGTGTGTTAGAGAGAGAGAGAGAGATTATGAAAGATATTCACGAGGGACCACGCGGCCTTGCCTTACTCACATTTATCTCTTTGGTTTTATTCTTACCCCGTTTTCGTGTGCACGGGTTCTCTTCCTTGTGCTATTTTAGTTAGTTTTTTTTTTTTTTTTTTAAATATCAAACGCGTTTCAATTATAAATTTAATTTTGTTTTACTTGTAAAATTTAATAATATACCATATAGGACCGAATCATATTGTAAAAGAAGTTTTATGGATTAAACTTTTCAAATATTAACTTACACTCCATGATTTTAATTGATTTTTTACTTTCTTAATTTGATTACTTTAATTGTGAAATTAAACTTAATTATAAGAATAATTGAGTGTGATTGTATTATTATAAATGTGAATATTTTATAAGTAATTATATAGGGTAATATTTCTCTCAAGTTACATAAAAGAGAAATATTTTTTTACACTCACATATAATTGTGGAGCCCATCAAGAGAGAAAAAATAAAATAATAGCTCAATTATCAATGTGACTATGTGAGTGTAGGAAAATATTTCTCTCAAATCATCCTCCATATCTTGTTTGTATGTTAAGAGAACTAATATGAATAAGAAAAACACTGTACAATATGTAGCATAATTACAGGATGAATATTAACAAATAACACTGTACTTATAATATGATAAAAAAAATTGAGATAAAGATAGTGATCTCACATGCCATTGCCCCCTCCAATGAGGAAAATTTAGGTTTATTTGATTGGACAAAGTGGGCTAGCGGACAACTTGTCTCATTAAATTATCATATTCTCTTGTCGTCGTAACCAATTTGTGATCTTTTCTTCAATTCAGTCCCCTCACCCTCTCTTCGTCAATTCCAAATTTTGGTTCAACAAACATGAAAATTCATTGTCACGGGAAGGAGGCACTATCTACTCTTAATTAATTAATTGAAAACCTAGAGGTTAATTTCATTTTCAAAGCTAGTATCCAATCACTATTAATCTATTATTTGGTACCTCTTACGGATAAGATCTCCCATGTTCGGTCAATCATCTTAACTTAATTGTCAAGTTAGGACCCAAAGAAAGAGGAAAGAAAAAAATTAAGAAAAGAAAAAAGATTAAAGCATTATTAGGTTAACAAGAGACTCTTCTTTATTAGAAGAAAGGTTAGCAATAGTCTCTAACTTTCATTTACAGCAACAAAATAGAATAATAGAAGTCTATTTGTTCACCAAGCGTCCGATTGGATGAAAATTTATACATTGCGTTTTTAAAAAAATTGTTTAGATGTGAGGGGAAGGATGTACTTAAGGCTGTTTGGTGTGACGTATAAAGCCTGATAGTATAAGTTCATATTATATGTTATGACATTTTTAGTTGTTTGATATCGTATGCTTATACAACATGATCCCTTTATACATCAAAATGATGTATAACTTAATCAAGCCTAAGGGGTAGGATTAGGCCTGATAAGAGGTTAATGTATTAATGTTGCTTAAAAGTACAATTTCCAAGAACTAATATATCATTTCAATATTAATATATTAAAATAATTTTTTTTAATATATTAATTTTTAAAATATTGGAGGATATTATCTTATACAATACCATACCAAACGCAGGCTAATATTAAAATTTAATCAGGTCTTATACAATCAGGTCTTATACTATCAGATCTTATACTATCAGGCCTTATACTATACTATATACCAAACATGCCCTACTACCATAAAAGTTTACCGCAAATTTTAATTGGATTGGATCAGATTTTTGAATTGATTGATGAAAGCCGATCCAATCTGAACCGATCCAATATATTAATTCTTCTCTATCTACTTGGATTTTTCCCCAATCATAACCCAAAAATTTCTAAACCCAATACGTATTAATCTATCAACTAAACTAAAGAAAAAACCTAGTCACATTTCATCAACAAAATTCCATGTGTGTAAAGCTTCATATATCATTGGCAAAAAAAAAAAATTTATATTATCGTTTAATGATGCTTTTGTATTTCAATTTTTTTTTTTTTACAAAACCAATATATACAATTATACAAAAGATGTTATTTGCACAATAATCATAAACAAATTTTAGGATTTTTAAAAAATCGAAAATCAATTCAATCCAAACCGAAAAATTTTGGATTGGATCAGATTGAATTTGAAAAAAAAATCCAAACCGAATAGATGATTATATGATCAAACTGAAGCGATTGGATCAGATGATTTTTGCTTCCAAAACCGATCCAATCCAGACCGCGAACACCTCTAGTAATCTTTGATTTTCCTGTTTAATCACCAAGAGTTGCCAATTCCAAATCTTAAAGGGGTGTTTGATAGAGATTTTTATTGTAGATACCCGGACAACTTCCATTGGTATTTCAGCTTGACCATGTTTGATACAAAAGTCAAAAATATAACCAGGAAAATCCTTTGCCCAGCATTTTGGTTTGTTTGCAAAATTTCAAGAAAATTACTGTTCCAGAAAATCACTTGTGAAATGGTATTTTGAGATTTGCCGAGAAAACAAATTGTTCCAGAAAATTACTGTTCCAAAATTTCAACTCCGTCCTGCGAAAGTTTTCCAACATGAACCTTGGGGGCGTTTGGTTGAAGATAAATTTTAAGAATACTAGAGAAATATAATTACTGTAATCCAAAAAAAAGAAAAAAAAATGTAATTACTAGGTATCCATAGGGAAAGTTGAATAGATGGGGAAGTTAAAAAAAAAGTAGTTTGGTTTGACAAAATTTTACCAGGGAAATATATGACAAAAAGTGTGTCAACAATGTTTTACCCGGGTTTTCTCAAAAAACCATCCTCAAATCGAGTTTCTATACAGTGCAAATTACTATCTTTCTCAAAAAGCCAGACATTTTACATAGATGAATTTTGGTCAAAACCTGTTGAACCAAACATTGGTTTTCTAAAAACCAAACTTCATTTACTTAGAAAAATCTCAAAAAGCCTTCAACCAAACGCCCCTGAATTTATCTTGGGGACATACAGCGTAAAGAACAAATAACAAATCCTTCAAACCAGAAAAAAAAAAAAGTATTACGAGAATCCTCAATTCAAGCAAATAGGCAAATGTCAAACTTCTTCATAAATCCATGTGAAAAAATAAAATTAAAGCAGCAAGTGATTTTAACCCAACAGAGATGTCGGGTTACTTGTATTGATATTCAAAAATTAAAGGAGTAATTTTCATAATTTGAACCTATTTTTTCACTAATATTTTACGTTAAACCAAATATAGACTTAAAAAACTTTAATGAATTTTTTCAATAATATTTCGTCCTATCAAATATCTTTTTTTCAACTTTCCTACCAAATTTATTTTTCATCATATTTTTAGTAATTGTATTTTCATAATAAAAAAAAATTTCTCCTCCCTAAAGATAATCTCAATGCCAAGACGTGACTCATCATACTTAACCTGATATTTTGACGGAAAGCTCCTGTTCCTAGTTAAAAATAAATTTGACTAATCCGATATTCACACACCCTTCCAGCTGACGATGCCAATTTACGTCTTACTTCCTTCTAGAATATTATGATATTGATTGCAAATTTAGCTCAAACAAAAATACAAGTATAATAATACAAAAGATTAGTTAATCCATGTGACCGCATAAGACAAATAACATTCATTATTGGTTCCCCTACGCTTCCCAACATGGAAACATGGTTTTCTTGCATTAAATTAAAATAAAATATTTATCAGCTTCTTATATTTATATTTACATCTCTTTCATCAGTAAGGGTTTATGATTACACAAAAACTTTCATTTTGATCCCTCACTAATGTGCTCAATTTCAATAAAGTTCCTCACAAATTTATTTCTGCAATCTGGTGGTTCAATAATCAAAATATACATCAATTTAATCCTATTATAATTAAAACTCACCTCAATTTCACGTCACAAGGTACTTCTTAAATCATATTCTGACCAATGAAGGATTTTAAATTGCAAAAGTTAACTTACCAGGGATAAATATGAAAATGAACACGTTATGATTGGGTTTTTTCGCATGATTGTGATGGTTGACCATGATAATGGCGCAAAAATTCATTTGCCGCCACCAACTCTTCTTAGAATACCGAAACAAGAGAGAGCATATCTTTTTCCCCCTTTTCTTGAACGTTGAAACAGAGGAGCATGCTTGGATCCAAAGGTTCTTCTGCATCTTATCTGGATTAGATAACAAAAAGGTTTCCCACCTGAATCAGAATTACTTCCCGATTGATTAGATTTAGAGTAAATAACTTTTCGGGTCTCTAATAAAAAATACGGTCCCCACTTTAGTTCCTTAAAAAAAAAAAGTCTCGAAATTCCTAAGAAATTCAAAATGGACCCATTTAGTTGAAATCGTGGTCCCTCATAAATTCAAAAAAGACCCACATTAGTCCTTCAAAAGGACTAAAATTGGTTCACTTTGAATTTCATAAGAATCAGACGACTAATTGTTTTTGTAAGGGATTAAAGTGGAGACCATATTTTTTGTTAGGGACCCAAATGATATTTACTCTTAAATTTATATTCACAATAATGGATAAGATCCATAAACAAATGCTAAGTACTATGTAAAGATGACGTATTTGATTATTTTTTCTATGCTCAAGTTCTTGACCTAACAAGAAACTTTCTCATGGTGTAAGATTTGAAAATTATAACGTCAATTATTAATATAATAAATGATACAATAGCAGCAGCCCAAGAAATAGAAGAGGAGGAATTTGAAGGTGCAAACCAATCAAGAGAACAAAGTATTGCAGAAAGGAAAGGGGTGCGTGAAAAGAAGATACCAATAAGGTTTAGAGATGATGTGTAGAAATTATGGGAGTAGTCACTTGGGTTAAAGGTGAGGTGTAAAAAGGGGAGAAAATAGTAAAAGTGAGTGGAGAGGAGTTGTTAGGAGGGGATTGGTAACAAAAGAAGAGGAACGAAATGTTTGAGACAGCTAGCAGAATTGTAATAACAAAATATTCTTTTTCTCGTCTCTCTATTCTCTTTCCATTCTCTTCTCTTCTCTGTTAATTCTTTCTATCAGTAGGGGACTGCCTCTACCAATAAATGATGCAGTATATAAAAGTAATTTCTGACCACTGAACAATACAAATTTAATATAATCATATTACACGCCAAAAGTAAGCAACCATGTGATCAAACGAGAAATACTTTTAAATGTTCAAAATTATGTTACAGTGGTAGAGTATAAAATAATTATAAATAATGAGATTTTATAATAATGATATGAGTAATGCAAATTTCCAATTCAACAATAAAGTTCGTAGAATGTTCATCTTATATAAAAAAATTTAAATAATATTGTATATACTATATTTATAAGGAGGGCAAACCTTGAAGTAGTGATAAAGTTGCTCTTTGTGATTGGAAAGTCACAAATTTGAAAACAATTTCTCAGCAAAAATATAAATGTAAGATTGCATATAATCAATCCTCATTCCTATCCTCACAAGTGGGGAAACTTATATACCGAGAGTTTACCCTATCCAAGGCTTGTGATAAGTTATAAAAGTATCAGACATGTAAAAAGAACGGGGTGGTGAATGGGATATTCTATATATGTAATTATTTGATATTATGATGGATTATAATCTGAATACACATACCATTTCCCAACAAAAATGTGTTCTCATGGGATTTTTCCGTCAATATAGATGATGATCAAGCCTTGGTATCAACCCAACAACATTGTGCTTTGCAGTTGCACCAAACTACTAGACATTTGTTAGCCAGAGGCTTAATTTGGGATTTGGCGGAACTGACGGGTTTGACTGTTTCATCTTAATGGTAGAGTTTATAGTGAAATTAGTCCTCAAAAATATTGGGTCGATATTATTACTATCTGAAAGACGAAAATTACTCCGGAGGTCGTTAAATATGCAATCCATTGGTCAAATTAGTCTCCGTGAACTAGCATCCGTCAATGATAACAAAAAAGCATACATGGCATGTCAAGTACCATATTGCTTGCCCACGTGTCAAGCAAATTTCTTCCTCCTACCACTGGAGGCCATTTTGGCTTCATAAACTCAAATCAGTTTCCTTCCTCCCATATTTTTTTAGGATCTCTCCTACTTTGCATCAAGATATGACGACGACTCATGTCCCTCCAGATAAAGCCAACGGGAGTCCCATGAATAACTTCTCCTTGTAAAGGCCTCATACTCTTGGATGACTTCATAAATTCTTTTTGTTTAGTAGTTTGGCCTTGCCTATAAATAACTGCTTGCGATTAAGGGTTTTTTAAACCTATTTATATTCTCTTATAACTGAGTGTTGAGAAGAGAATATAGTGATCACACTTGCTAGACATAACCCTACATTGGAGTGAACCAGAGCAAATTGTGCCTCCTGATTTTCTACCCTTATTTTTTCTATTTGCAATTATGGTTTTTTTTATGATTGGGGTTTCGTCGAATTAGGGTTTCTTGGTCAAAAGGAACCTGCAAAATTAATTTATGAAGGATGTCGACTGGTCAATCACAAATTGAAGGAGAAAACTTTGGGGGAAAGGGTTTCAAGTTATGGAAATTGAAGATGGAGGCTTTGCTCATTAACTGAGATGTGTGGTACGTGATCGAAGAAGACAAACCGTCTGTACCTGAAAAACTTGCCAAAAAATGGAGCGTCAGAGGCCGCCGTGTCTTACAAGATGAAGAAGTGGACCAAAGACGATCAAAAGGCTTGAAGTTTGATTTGCTTTGTCTTGAAGATAATGTTTTGGTAAACATGACCTTTGAAGAGTAAGTCTTCTACATCGACTTTGAAGGATAAGACTCTATTTGAAGCTCTACTTGGGAAAAGGCTAGACATATCTCATATCAGGGTATTCGGCTACTAGGCATATGTGCATGTACCCAAGGAAAAAAGAAGAAGCTTGATAACAAGTCAAAGAAATGTATTTGTATTGGGTACAAGGATAGCATCAAGGGGTATAAGTTGTGGAATTCATACAATAAAAATGTAACTTATAGCAAAAGCCTTGTGTTTAGAGAATCTAACCTGAATTAGATTTTTCCAGAAGCTCTAGAAAAGCCACAGAGAGTAGAGTTAGATATGGATTTGGAAAAAGATGTAGTCAATACACAGGTTGAAGCGAAAAGTTCAAATTCTGAAGTTGTCCGACATGACAGGGTATAAGATGTAGATTTTGAAATTGAGGTTGAAGTTGAACCACCGATTGGTCCAATTTTAAGGAGATCCACAAGGGAAAGAAAAACGTTTAAGAGGTATACACCTGATAATTATATCCTTGCTAATGATGACAGTTATGCCCTGAGTATTACAGGTGATGATTCAAGCATTGTAAAACAAGCGAAAAGCTCAGACGATGCCAAACAGTGGGAGGAAGCCATGGAAAATAAGATGAACTCTTTAATTCAAAACACAAGTTGGAGTTTGGTGACTACCTGCAAACCGAAAGGCAACTGTTGTAAGTGGGTGTTCAAGAAAAATGTTACTACTAATGGGGAAATAAAGCGTTATAAGGCTCAATTGGTTGCAAATGGATATTCTCAGATAGAAGGGGTTGATTATTGTGAGGTATTTTCACTTGTTGCAAACTTAAATTCCATAAGACTCGTTTTATCTGCAGCAACTGCATTTGAGCTTGAGTTGAAGCAATTGGGTGTGAAGACTGCAATCCTTCATGGTGATTCGGAGGAGGTTATCTACATAAAACAACCAGAGGTGTTCGTGGTAAGAGGCAAAGAAAACATAGTCTGCAAGTTGAACAAGTCTCTGTATGGTCTAAAACAGTCCCACATAATATGTTACCAAAAGTTCAATACATTTGTTGAAGCTTGGGTTAATCATCGTGATGCTGATCATTGTGTTTATGTGAAAAGGGTAGAAGGTAACTTAGTTATCCTAACCATATATGTTAATAATATGTTACTTGTCGTGAACAATTTGTAGATGATCAATACTATAAAAAGACTGTTGGCAAGGCAGTTTTTAATAAAAGATGTAGGCCCAACAAATCTATTCTTGGGCATGCAAATCAAGAGGCATCGTGATAAAGGAAAGTAATGGTTGAGTCAAAACAAATACATAGAAAATGTTTTGAAGAAATTCAATATGTCAGATTGCAAGCCAATAATAACTCTCATTTCTACAAGTTCCAAGTTATCAGCTCTTCAGTTCCCCAAGACTGAAGATGAGAAAAAAAAGATGGCATCAATTCCCTATACAAGCACAATTGGGAGTTTGATATATGTCATGATTTGTACTTGTCCAAATATTGCTCAAGCAATGGGACTATTGAGCAGATATATGTCCAAGCCAGGATAAAAACATTGGATGGCAGTGAAGCGTGTGTTCCGTTATCCTAATGGTATATCTGAGCTTGAGTTATGCTATGAAAGGTATGAAGAGCTCAAGGGACAGTCAGCATTATAGCTATAGTGCTTTATGGATGCTGATTTAAGAAAGGGGCGACATTGATAGTAGAAGGTCTGTGAATGTTGTTTTCTTATTTGGCGGACCTGTCAGTTGGATGAGTAAGTGGTAAAGCATGATTGCTTTATTGACTATTGTTGCATAGTACACGACCTTTGACATATGCAATCTATGTTGCACCGACACCAACACGGGACACGGGATACGACACGACACGACACTCCGACACGTTAATTCTAAAAAATGTTAAATTTCGACACGTTAGGACACGTTTTGATATTATATAATATTTTTAATTTATGTAGTGTATATTATATTTAATATTCAATAATTTAACAAAAAAATAAAGCTAAACTTATAATACCCATCAATTTTGCAAAGAAACATAAGATATCACAAATATTGTATTAAACTCAATAAAATAGTAATCGTAATCCAACGAATCTAATAGTTGGAACTCAAAATGCAACGTAACGTAACCTTTGAACCTTTTTTGAGTCTTTGCAACAAGTATTGGAAGTGTCGGAGTGTTGGGAAGTGTCGGATACGACACGTCAGAGATTTTGAAGTGTCGATGCTTCATAGTATGCAATCAAGGAAATTTTTTGGTTGCGCAAGTTGTTTAAAGAACTTGGCTTTATATGAGGAGTGACAGTTGAATGTGATAATCAGAGTGCTATATTATTGGCTAAGCACTCAAGCTTCCATGCAAAGACCAGACATTGGTATATAGTATCACTTTACTAGAGAGAGAAGAAAGATGAAAAGATTGTAAAGCTCAAGAAAGTTGGCACAAAGGTGAACAATACTGACTTTTTGACCAAGGCAGTGACTTCAGAGAAGTTTAAATGGTGTACAGCTGCATTGGGTTTGAAGAAGCTTGCAAAGTACTCACCAAGTGGGAGAATGTTGAGTATGGCTCTTACTTTGCATCAAGACAACGACTAATGTCCCCCCAATGCAAATAAATCGAACGAAGGTCTCATGAATAGTTACTTCTCTTAAAGGCCTGGTACTGTTGTGGGCCTTAAGTTACTTTATAATTTTATTCTGTTTAGTAGTTTGGACTTGAGTCCGTGAATAGTTGTTATAGATTAGGATTTTTCAACCCTATTTATATTTTCTTGTAACTGAGTGCATTGTAACAAGCGTTATGAGCAGAATATATGATCAAACTTGTTGGATATAGACCTACATTGGGGTGAATCAGGATAAACCGTATCTAATGCTTTTCTTCCCTTCTTTTTTCTATTTGCGATTGTGTGGGTGATTGGTAGAAGGATTTTGATCATATAAAACCGTATCCTAACATTTTCCCCTTAAACGAAAACCTTAAGGGGGAGTTTGGTAGAAGGATTTTTTTTGGATTCCTGGGAAACTGATATTGAGAATCTTATTTACCCACGTTTGGTATAAGGATTGTAAATTTTTTCCCGAGATTTGAAATTATGAAGCAGAATAGCATTCCAAAATACCGTCGGGTGGGTGGTATTCTTGAAATCCCACCCAATGGGAAAATGCACCAAATTTTTCGGGACAAAAATACCCTTCGCTTCTCTTTCTTCTTCTTCTTCTTTGTATTGTTTTCATTCGTTACTCTTTTCATTCTATCTCCTCTCCACTGCAGCCGTGGGTCACAAAATTTGGGCAGAACCTCACACACCTTTTGACTCCATTATTGCTAGGCTTCTTCCTTTTTGCTGAAGATGGCGTTTTACTCATGCAAGACCTCCTAGAAAATGAAGATGCTGATGAAGAAAAACATAGGGACTTGGATTTGTGCTCAACGGTTACATCTAGCACAGCTTCACTTTCTGATTCAACTCACCATATATCTTAAATGCCCTCAACTTTGTCCTCGCAACTCGCCATAATAATTCTTCTTATTCCTCTCGGATTTGGGTCTTGCTCTTGGTTTGTGGGTTACATATGTTTCTAAGGATGAAAACACTGCTCCAGAACTTGACTCTGAGGAGCATGAAGTTGAGTGTGCTTTGCTTCTCCATTCAATCTTCTATCATCACGGCTCAACGAAGATTCATCCTTTCTTTGTTCTCGCTTTTAATTTCTATTTAGGCACCATGACTGTGGTTGTAGTTCAAATTGCTCTGTATGTGGGTGGTTTTGTTGAAGAGACCCAGTTGTTGATCTTTGTCAAGATTGGATTTTGATTCGTCAATTGAACGATAAATGGCGTCGAGGAGACTAGAGGGTTGATTAAGAATTATAAAGGGTAATTTTGTAAAATATTCCATATTCCCAGCTATATTTAACAATCAACTAAACATAGAATCAGAAAACTTGAACCAACATTCCTGATAGTATTTTGGCCTTCCAAACAACTTTTTGGTAACATTCCCGGGAAATTCACTTTTTCAGTATATTCCTGAGAATCCATGGGCTATGTTTGATTACTGTTTTTAAAAACAGTTTTTTAGTTTTCAAAACAAAAAAACTCGTTTGGTAAAGCCTGTTTTGTAAAAAAAGTTTTGAAAATTGTAACTATTTTTTTGTTTTTAGAATCAAATTTAGAGAACATATGTGAGTTGTTTTTGTTTTCTGTTTTGGTTTTTAACTTTCAAAACACAAAAAACACAGAAAACAACTGTTTCCATAATTATTCTACAAAACAGTTTTAAGAACAAAAAAACAAAACACAATCAAACAGACCCATATGATTCTCAAGAATAAAAAAATTTCTCCTCTACCAAAAGTCCCAAAGTCCTATGCTGGAAAATGCTAGAAAAGTCCCCCAATAGGCCAGACACTGGTTTATAGGGGAGGGGAAAGGGGATTTGGCTTTACCCGCAAATAGGTGACAATAGAGGCTAGGCATAGTGGTTTCAACGGTGCACGACAATCTAATGATGACAAGCGAAGTAACATTGGGTCGCATGGAGCAAGCATTATAATAATGATATGTACATATATATTACATTAACATTAACAACATATTTATCTCAAACCAGTCGAGGTCAGTGGTTGATAAACCTAAATAAAAAGTAATAAAAGTTTGAGGATAAAAAGAAAATAATAATAAAATAATAAATAAATATTAAAGTAAGATGAAAAAAGAAATATGAGAAAAAATACTAAATAAGAAAAAAGTAGATTAGAGAAAAAGATAAATGAAAAATTAAATAAATAAATATAAGTGACAAGGACTAAAAAGAATCATCTAAGGGTCTTTGAACAATATGCACAAACTATCTCAATATATACTCTCAACTTTTCAGCCACCGGTACAACACCCACCTCTCGTCAAATATCTTTATATCTTGTTTATCCATCCTAATATGATATATATATATATATATATATATATAAAATATTGTAATAAAAAGAAATTATTTAACATGATTATACACCCAAGATGCCATCTTAATAGCAGTGAGAACGGCCAGACAAAAATTTGATTTTTGTTAATTATGATGGAGTATATTGTAAGAAAGATCATGACCCTCAAGCCTTTGAATATTACTATATATTGCAAACAAAAGATGAGCAGGAGATGAAAAGAGTGCTAAAAGAACCTGGTTTAAAGTGTCACGGAGCAACTGGCTTCAGTATGCTGCTGGTTGAAGTTTTGGGCTCCACAAAATGTGCAAGAGTGACGGCTGCTTTGCTAGAGTTAGGGACTCCCTCTCGGAAAGGGACCTCAAACAGCAAGGATTGGTACAAACAAACCTCATCTTCCTTGCAATAGTATATCTGCAAACAGCGAATATAATTTTTTCGTTCAGTGATGCTCGTGGGGCATGTCCACCACCACCAGAGTCTAAATGAGATGGATTTATAACTTTAGCAGTAGAATACACAAACAAGCTGACCAAAATTAAGTTGAGAGTCGTCTACTTTAGGATTAAGCCCCCCAACATTAGAATCAACAACTGCTAAATCTTGGCAAAAAAAATAAAATATTGTTGTTTAAAAAAAAATTACGAATATATAGCTGTTTTGAAATTATTAATGAATCTATTGCACGCATTCAAGCCTAATTTAGGCGTGACCATTCACGCCTAAGTTAGGCGTGACTCATCTGTTGTTGACACGCGGCACAAAAAAGTCAACAATTTAACCGTAAACCTTCGAAAGGCCATAACTTTTGACTAGGGTGTCCAAATCAGATAATTTTTTTTTTATTCCATATAACTTTTCGAGATCTACGCAATGACACTTCATTTGCCAATTGCCATATTTTATCTCACTCACACAGTTCGAATTTGCATATAAGAGCGTTTAAACCCAGAAGCATTCGAGTTTTTTCTGAACCAAAATGAGTCATAGAATTCTTTATTTAATGATCTAAAATCAAAGGAAATTACGCTCTAAATTTTATTTTCACATTTTGTAAGGCCATTTTTAAGAAATCAAAGTATCTCACTTCAGATAAAATTAAAAGTTTTTCTGTTGTGCAATCAATATGTCAAGTTAAACCTGGGATCAGAAATTGGATTGGATACCCATGAAAAGCCTGCAATTGGATGTCACGGTTGTAGTCATGAAGTTACATAATGTTAGAAATTAAGAGAAACAGAACATGGAGAGAAACTTTTATATATTTTTAATGCAAAACATCAATAGTTTTGCATTTTTAATGCAACTTAAAGAACATAGAATTCATGTATAAAAAAAAAGAACATAGAATTCTCACCAATCTCTCTCTCACTTTTATATTGTGGCACTTTCTTTTCTCACAATATTATACACTATTTTTTTTTCCAAACACTTGGTAGAAATTATATATTTTACTATCACATTAATAAGTATCCTTATTTATAGATGGACTAATCAACTTTGGTGCCATCTTTAATTTCAGACCATGACTTACAAGTTAAGGTTTCAATTCACAGTGATAAGAGTACAACCCATAGGATAGGGATAAGGAGATTCTAGTAGGCAGAAGACTCTGTTTGGTGTTGATTCGGAAAAAACTCGGAGGCTTCTAAGTTTAAACGCTTCTATAGTACCATTGTTGCAAATTCGAAATGTGTTTGTGAAAAATAATGAGGTGTCATTGCATAGATCTCAAAAAGTTATATGGAATTAAAAAGAAAATTATCTGATTCGGACACCCGAGTCAAAAGTTATGGCCTTCCAAAGTTTTACAGTTAAATTGTTGACTTTTTTGTGTCACGTGTCAACATCAGATGAGTCACGCCTAACTTACCCGTGAATGGTCACGCCCAAATTGGACGTGAATAAGTACAATGGATTCGTAAATAGTTTCGAAACAGCTATATATTAGTAATTATTTATTAAAAAAACAATATTTTAATATTTTTGCCGCTAAATCTTCTATCAATAGTTCTGGTATTAATTAACATTTTCTTGCTCGTTTTGTCACTTGATGCCATTAATTCAAGATTTGACACTTAAGAGAAGGTTTGAAGGCTCAAAGCAAACTATTTTATTTCCGAAACCAAGTAAGTCTTGAGTTCTATAATGAGGCATACCTTGCAATTAATTCTTCCCATTGAAGCAGAGTTGGAGGATCTCTTAAAGTGAAGGGTTGCAGATCCTTCTGGACTAAAGAGTCCATCATGGGGATCAATATTCACAGCATCTTCAGGTTCAATATCAACACTGAATCTACTGCTTGCTTCCTGCAATGGAATTTTAGGGGCAGTAGTCAAGGAAATACATAATCTCGTGTGTAACCAAAGAATTTTCGGTGTTTGAAAGAGAGGATGAAGATGAGGACCTTTGAGAAATGATACTCATTTGGTAATGATATTTCAATAGACAATTTTCCCTCATTTGATGAAATGGCATCAATGGTAATTGGCACCGTGTCGACTGATGGTCGTCTCCTCAGACGTTTAAAAGATCTCGATTTTGGTTTAGGAGGCTGAAATCCTTTAAGCTCCAAGGTACGGAGTTCAAATTCACCGGTGTTCAAATCTAGATAACGGATTAAGCTGTTGTTTGTATCGGCTATGAATAGTTTACCTGGAAACAAAAAAAAAAAAAAAGAACAAGAAGAACAAAAAATATTTCTAAGATTAAGCTCATTTTATATTTATTCATTTGACAAAAGAATTGGATCAAACGATCAACACCCCCAAATTCCATGAACAAGATATGTACTTGTACAACAAAAAGATGGTTTATGAATTTTATGGTCAAGCATAATCAGATGACAATTATGCCAATATTAGTTGACGTACTTATAATTACAGGATTGTAATTGGGTAATAGGATTTAATTATGAGTAATTTAATTTACGATCTAGTTCCTGGATCTTAGAATTCCTAGTTAGATTAGTCTACTATCGATTATATTTACTTGAGTATGAATTTCTCTGTGTTATTTGCTTGAGAAGAATAGGGTTGCTTGAGTTGCTTTGATAAGAATAAGGTATGTTATCTTGGGGTTTTCAGTCTTGCAATTAATTTGATAAAAAAGATTTTGAGTATTTCTGGATACTGTTATGTGGTTCTGGTTCCCACTCTACATCAAGTAGCTCAAAAGGGATAATTATGCATAGGCTTAAACTTAGCAACTAATATCCCATCTTACAAGAGTTTTAAAAGTGCAGCAACCTGGCAACAGCTAAGCTAGCAGAAATGAGAAGAGGAGAGCCTAAACAGCATGACATATGTAGAAAGATTTACGGTCACTAACAAAGGAAAATACTCAAAATTGATGTTTCAAAGAAGTCCTGTTACGATTCAATTGCAAGGTATTAAATTTGGAGTCCTATATCAGAAACATAAGGTACTAGTATGGGACTTATATAAACTTTGGGCTCTCCTACCTTACAAGCTAACTTTTGGGGTGAGGTTCTCCCAAGGTTCGTATCATCCTCATTTTGTATTTCCAGCTTAATCAAACGAAGTTTGTGACAAGCATTGGATTGAGTTAAAGGACAGGCCAGAAAATCTGGTAGAACAGAACATGTTCTGTTTTGTACCAATCTTTGACCCCCACCTTGTTCTGTTTTATTTTTAAAATACACCAAATATTAAATAGGACCCATATGCTATGTTCTATCCCGCTCTAACACATCTACCAAATGCTACCTAAATTTGCAAGGCAGGAATATTTAGTATCAGTTTCTAGTTCGATAATGACTGACCTATCAGCACTTCAAAAGCAAGATTAGAGACAGATGTTGCATAAAGTGATAAAGATGTGGAGGAAGCAGCTATACAGAGACAAATAATCTAGAATCTAATAATGCTCACTCTTTGTAAAAGTTCAAGATTGTTTTGTGGTTGAAGAGTTGAAGATTTTAATAATGCTAATTTAACATTTCAGTCATGCAAATAACTCATTCTGCCTGTAACAATGGTCAGGCAGGTACCCTGTCTCAGCAATTCAACAACAGGTCATGCAATTTTCTAAGTGGTAAGGTAACGAATATATAAGGGGTGTATCAAGGAAGAGCATTGTCTTATTGTGAGAGGTGAGAGGAGCAAATCTTGACCATTCAATCTCACATAGATTATCAGGATTAGAAGTTACTTTAAAGGTCAAATGACTACTTGAAAAATTCACATGACTTTAAATTCTAATCTTGATCACATGAATGATCAAATGATTAGTATTTACTCCACTCACTTGATATGCTCCCTAAATATATAAATGTATACTTAGAAAAAGAGAAGTTTTGATCCTCCCTTAGATTCATCAAGATTAACATATGCGAACATTAAAAATAATGAATTAGATTGCAGTAAAAAGAGCAGTACCATTGTTCCCTTCAACAATTCCTGATGGTTCAGAAAGCTGCAAGAAATTTGATAAATATATTTAACATATATCTGTGGCTATTATTAGATAGGCAAGAGTTCATTTGTTTTACTTGGTTGTGCTGATACTTGTTTGCATGGCCATTTAAATTGAAAACATAACAAACACCTTGTTTTATCTTCAAATGACCATGTGTACAAAATACAAGAACATGAAATAAGACTAGGTTAGATTTACAATCTTAAATAGCATAGCTTTCACCATGTTTTTATGTTGAGATATATAGTCCCACATTGGTTGTATGAGCAACTAATGTGGAGTTTATAAGGCCTTGGGCACTCCCACCCTTTGAGCTAGCTTTTGGGGTGATGTATCCCAAGGTTCTTTACATGGTATCAGAGCCTCGTGTCCGGGTTCAAATCTCGCCGCCCCCCACTTTCTCTTGTGGAAATTCCTAGCACAGATAGGCTGGGCCTGTTGCATCATCTACCCTTCAACCCCAATGGGCTCTTGTGTGAGGGGGCGTGTTGAGATATATAGTATCACATTGGTTGTATGAGCAACTAATGTGGAGTTTATAAGGCCTTGAGCACTCCCACCCTTTGAGCTAGCTTTTGGGGTGGTGTATCCCAAGGTTCTTTACACGGAGAAAAGAAGAAGTGGAAGAAGTGTTTTGTCTGAATAATACTTTCTTGATTCATTAAGAGACCCAATGGGTCCTTTTTATATTGAGTACATCCAACTACCTCAACTACTTTAATAAATATACAACCACCAACTACATCAATAAATATACAACTACCAACTAAATATACAACTACTAACTACATCAATAAATACTATCTAGAATATTCTACACTCCCCCTTAAGTTGGAAGATATATATTGCTCATTCCCAACTTGCTGATCAAATTCTCAAAGGTCGGCTTAAGTAATCCTTTGGTGAGGATATCTGCCGTCTGTTCCTTGGTAGGTATATATGTCAAGCATACACTACCGTCTTCTAATTTCTCTTTGATAAAGTGACGATCAACTTCCACATGTTTTGTTCTGTCATGATGAACAAGATTTTGAGCAATGCTGACAGCAACCTTATTATCACAATATAATCTGATAGGTAGGGAATAAGAGATCTTCAACTCCTCCAGAAGCCTTCATAACCAAATTCCTTCACAAATACCATGGGCTAGAGCCCGAAATTCCGCTTCTGCACTACTTCTTGCAACAACAGTTTGTTTCTTACTTCTCCAGGTCACAAGGTTTCCCCAGACATAAGTACAATATCCTGAAGTAGATCTTCGGTCCATTGCAGAGCCAGCCCAGTCTGCATCTGTATAGATTTCAATCATCCTTTTGTGCCCTTTTTTAAAGAAAATTCCTCGACCAGGGGTATTTTTGAGGTATTTGAGAATTCTATAAACAGCACTAAGGTGTTTTTCCTTAGGAGAATGCATGAATTGGCTAACCATGCTCACAACAAAAGCAATATCAAGACGAGTGTGAGACAAATAGATTAATTTCCTCACTAGTCTCTAGTACTGCTCCCTATCAACATCTTCCCCGTCCTCAACTCCCATCTTGATATTAGCTTCAATTGGAGTCTCTGCCGGCTTGCACCCAAGCATACCTGTTTCTTGCGACAGGTCTAGAATGTATTTTTTCTGAGGTAAAGAAATTCCTTCCTTACTCCGAGCAATTTCCATGCCAAGGAAATATTTAAGAGATCCAAGATCTTTTAGTTCAAACTGGTCAGCTAAACATTTTTTTAAAGAGGTTATCTCCTCGCTATCATTACCAGTGACAATTATGTCATCAACATAAACGATCAGAATAACAATTCTTCCTTTGTCGGAGTATTTAAAAAATAAAGTGTGATTAGTCTGAGCCTGGGTGAACCCTCTTCCCTTAACAACTTGAGTAAATTTCCCAAACCATTCTCTGGGAGATTGTTTAAGTCCATAGAGAGACTTCTGCAACTTGCACACAGAACCATCCCCTTTTTCAAAACCAGGAGGTGGATCCACGTAAACTTCCTTATGTAGATCACCATTCAAGAAGGCATTCTTAACATCTAACTGTTGCAATGGCCAATCTAGGTTGGCGGCAAGAGATAGCAGAACGCGGATAGTGTTAAGTTTGGCAACAGGAGCAAATGTCTCCTGATAAACTATCCCATGAGTCTGAGTAAATCCATTAGCAACTAATCTGGCCTTATACCTATTGATGCTATTGTCTGCATTGAATTTTATTGTGAACACCCACTTGCAACCAACAGTTTTCTTTCCTTTAGGTAATGTCACAAACTCCCATGTTCCATTTTTTGTAAGTGCATCCATTTCTTCTAATACCGCATTCTTCCATTTTAGGTTAAGTGCTTCTTGGATATTTTTGGGTATCTTGGTACTATCTAACATAGTGTTGAAAGCACGAAAACCTGGAGACAACTTTTCATATGAGATATGATGAGAAATAGGATGAGCAGTGCAAGATCTAGTACCTTTTCGAAGAGCAATAGGCATATCAATGTTGGCTGTACTAGTACATTCAAGTGGGTTGCTGGAACAAGGACTCGAGTCAGGATCCTGGCAGTCTAGAGTATCTTCATGTGTTTTGCGCCTGCTGTAAAAATTTTCCCATTTACCAGGAGGATCACACGGAGGATCATTAGATTCAGGTATAGTTGCTCCCCCTGTTTCCTTCCCAATAACTCCCCCTGTTTCCAAAGGCCAAGGTAAGACAACAACATTATTTGGTTTCCCAGGCTTATCTTCATCCATACCAAGACCAATAGACTCCCCCTGAAGAGAAGTCGGGGAAAAAAAGAATTGTGTCTCATAAAAGGTAACATCCATGGAAACAAAAACCTTACGAAGAGAAGGTGAGTAACACTTATAATCTTTTTGATTAGGGGAATAACCTATGAAGACACATCTGATGGATTTAGGGTCAAGTTTGGACCTTTGATATGGAGGAATATGCACAAAAACCAGACAGCCAAATATTTTGGGAGGAAGAGAAGAAAGAGCATTGAAAGAAGGAAAAGATTTAGTAAGGCAGGATAAAGGAGAATGAAAATGTAGTACCCGAGAAGGCATCCGATTAATAAGATAAGAGGCTGTCAAGATGGCTTCCCCCCACAAATATTTAGGGACATGAATTGTGAATAAGAGAGCTCGAGCAACTTCAATTAGATGTCTATTTTTCCTTTCAGCCACCCCATTTTGTTGAGGGGTGTTAGGACAAGAACTTTGATGAATAATTCCATGCTGGTTTAGGTAATCTCCAAGAACAGAATTAAAATATTCAGTACCATTGTCTGTTCGCAGAATTTTGATAGAGGTCTGGAATTGAGTTTGAATCATAGCATGAAAGTTTTTAAAGGTGGATGCTGTATCAGACTTATCTTTCAAGAGGTATACCCAACATACCCTAGAATGATCATCAATGAAAGTAATAAACCAACGAGCACCCGAGCCATTTTTTTCACGAGCAAGTCCCCAAATATCACTATGAATCAATGTAAAGGGAGAAGATTCATGATATTTTTTAGGAGAATAAGTGGCACGAGAATGCTTTACAAGCTGACAAATATCACAAAGAAGGAAACTTGGCTTTTTATTGATGAACAAGTTCGGGAATAACTTCTGAAGATAGACAAAATTTGGGTGTCCTAACCTACGATGCCATAACAAAACATCATTACAGTCATTTGATAAACATAGAGAGTGGTTCGAAAAAATCTCCTTTCACAAGGATCCTCTTTAAATAGTAGAGCCCTTCTTCCTCTCTAGCACTGCCAATCATCGTCCCCGAGTCTTGTTCCTGAAAGGTACAAGCATTTGCAGAGAACTTAGCAACACAATGCAACTCAGCAATAAGTTTGCTAATTGAGATGAGGTTACAGGTAAGAGAGGGAACATGAAGGACTGAATTCAAAATATATGCTCAGAAAGTTTAATGGATCCCTTCCCCGCAATAATGGAGAAATTCCCAACAGCTGTTCTTAATCGTGACCGGTGATAGTAAGGAGTATAGGAGAAAAATAAGGTTGCATTACCTGTCATGTGATCAGAGGCCCTTGAATCAATAATCCAACGATTACTACGTTCAACATGGAATGCCATACCTTTTTGAACAACATGACTAGTTGCCTCGGCAGGTTGAGATATCAGTTTCTGAAATTGCTCATACTGGGCCTTAGAGAGGAAAACACCATCAAGGTTTGAAGGGACATGAGACACCTCCCCTTTATCTTCGGAAGATACTTGATTAGCACGATTCTTGTTCTGTCCTTTTGGTTTCCAGTTTGGTGGTTTTCCATGAATTTCCCAACATTTTTCACGGGTGTGACCACCCTTATTGCAATGAGAACACCAACGGTCAGATCGTTTTGAGTCCCCAGAAGGACGAACAGTATTCTTTGCTATAAGGGCAGACCCATCAGAGGACTTAGAGTCCTTATCACTCAACATTACTTTTCGGCGAAGCTCCTCCCTTCGTACTTCAGAAAAAGCAGTAGCAAGGGAAGGTAATGGGTTTTGCCCCAATATTCTTCCACGAACATCATCCAGATCAGAATTAAGGCCAACAAGAAAATCATAGAGACGCCTTTTCTCTATATAATTTTTGAACCTTGCATTAGCTTCTAAACCTTGAAGGTCTGCTTTATCATAAAGATCCAACTCTTGCCACAGTGTTTTTAGAGCAAGGAAGTATTCAGTAACAGTCATCCCTCCTTTGCGTAATTCTTTCACCTTGGTGTTGAGATCAAAAGCCTGAGATGCATTGCCCAGGTCAGAGTAATATTCTTTAACAGCTTCCCAAATTTCTTGAGCTGTATCAAGAAATAAATAAGTTTGACTGATATCTGGTTCCATAGAATTAGTCAGCCATGTCATGACTAAAGCATTTTCAGTCACCCAAGCATCATAACCAGGTTCACGTTCTGCTGGTTTTACCTTTTTTCCGTCAAGATACCCCATCTTCCCTTTAGCCTGGATAAACAACTTAACAGATTGACACCATTGCATATAGTTCCTACCGTTTAAACGGTGATTGGTGATTTGCATTGCTGGGTTGTCTCCAAAAGACGAAGAGTTGGGAAGGGGTGAGGTTCCAGACGAAATTTCAGAATTTTCAGCATCCATGGCTTTCTGACAGGTACCCAGAAAAAAGGTCCTCCAAATACGATTTTGACCCTCAAAACAGGAAGAGGGTTGCTCGCCAAAGTCAATGAATGAGAGCAATCTTGGCCACAGTGAAACAGTAATTGCTACAGTAATGAACAGTACTGCTACAGTAATGAACAGTACTGCTACCGGTCTTCTGTGGGCTGGCTCGGAATTTTGTTTTGAACCTAATGGTGGCCTTGGTTTCGTGGTTGGAGGTGTCTAGGTAAGGATTCTGGCTTGGGCAGTGGCTAAAACGAAAAAAAGGAATAGGAAAATGACTTAAAAATAAATCAGAACGGGGAAGAGACTGGAATATAACCAGCTCTTGATACCATGGAGAAAAGAAGAAATGGAAGAAGTGTTTTGTCTGAATAATACTTTCTTGATTCATTGAGATACCCAATGGGTCCTTTTTATATTGAGTACATCCAACTACCTCAACTACTTTAATAAATATACAACCACCTACTACATCAATAAATATACAACTACCAACTAAATATACAACTACTAACTACATCAATAAATACTATCTAGATATATTCTACATATTCTACATTTTATCCTTTTTTAAGGGGAAAAAACAGAAAATAAGAAATCATTCTAGAAGAAACTACATCAAAAGGAAAAAAAACTTAACAAAAAGTAAGTAAACCACATCATAAAAATACATTGACAAAACCAGCTGCATATTTGAAGATAGCATAACAATCATTAAAAAACATCGATACATTTGTGGTGATTCCTCTTTAACATCCCAATGGTCATTAAACAATTTGCAGAAGAACATGAAGAAGAGTGCATCTGATCCAAATCCTAGAAAAATTGATTGCCATGTTTCACAAAATTGTCATTTATAGTGCTTCATCAGCTTGTGCTCATGCAAACCCATTCACTATATGCTAAATCACCAAAATTATTTCAATAAAATCATTCTACCTTTGAAATAATTGATAGTTCCACACTTGCATTGACTAATGTGAAAGAGAAAAGGAATTAACGGTAAAAAGTCTGGTATAGATGATTCAACTTTTTAAACGAGGATATAAAAGGAATTTGTATGTTTACAACTTGGAGATAATTTTGGTAGATGAAGACACAGGATATTTCACCAACCTGAGCTGTTACAGCTGTTCCATCCCTGAAACCAGCTTTTCCTGTCCCTGCAATTGTGTTAACTCTTTTTCTAGTTGGATCTAACTTCTTGATCTGAAATATTGAAACATAACAGAGGGATGGAAAATAAGAACTTCGGTCTGAGGGTACTGGAGCTAAAGCCTGGCCAACCAATTAATTGACTTGTGTTCTCATAAGTGAGTTGTATCATGTATGATTGCAAACCCCCAAGTGATAAGTTTAATGACAAAACTGTGACTTTGTGCAAGAATTTTCAGAATTGAATAAATCATAGGTCCTAACCAGGTTTACAGGAAAAGAATTGGCTACCTTTGCAAGATTTCACTTAAAAAGGTTATTGTCGGTATCTGATATTTAAGTTTAAACCTGCATGGACATGAAATACCAATTCCTAATAGAAACTGGCAGGTTGACCACTCAATCCTTGTGTTATGAGATCGATACATCATTAAGAATGAGGAGAAAATTGTTGGAAACTTCATCAAAGACAAAATTGGAAAATGTATGTAAAGACAAAAGTAACATGTAAAATATTCTAACAAATAATTCCCTTAATAAGCATTTTATATTAAAAAATCAATTGATATTCTATCTAAGATATAATGCATGCCATAGCCATAACAATTTCAAAAGTAACTTGGTCTGAATTGTCTACCTTGTGATTATAGCTATCTGCAATATAAATTTCGCCATCCTTTGCACTTGTAAGCCCCAGTGGATGTTGAAGACGTGTGTCAGAGCCTATTCCATCTTGATCACCAAACTACAGAGGTTTGAGAAAATAAAGGTAGGTTACCAGGGGAAAGGAATTCTAAAGAGAAATGTTATAAATATATGACTAAATGTTAAAACTTTGTGTAGCTCTGTGCATGAAGATTGAACAGCACTAGTATCATGAAACACCTAAGCCAATCAACTGCAATGTTATTTCCAACTTAAAAGGAAATGTAATTATAGAAGAAAAAGTAGTGTAGCAAAATGAAGCAGGAAATCATGTAATTGCCTATTGAAGTCATATTAAAACTACCTTAAACAAATTGTCAGGGAAGATTGGGTCACCACCAGCTAGCAACCGAGATCCTCCTGTTTTCAGATCAACAGCTCGAATTGAACTACTCTCACTATCAGCGATGTAGATCTCCATCAGATCTTATCATGCAAAATCATGTCAAACATTTATCATTATGAATGACAGTTGATGCAAATCAAGGTTCAAGAGAATTGTCAGCATATGTTACCTTGGGACAACGAAAGACCAGAAGGTTGTGCAAATGAGGTGCTTGTAGAACTATCTCAGATAAAAATAATAAATATTAATCAGAAAATTTACAAGTTTCTTGCTGAAAAATCACCAAATAGAACACATGGAATAAACTGGAGAAATAATTCCAAAACCATGGTCCAACCAAGCACAAATACATACATCTGTCTTAGAAAAACTAATAATAAAGTCATCATTGTCATTAGAATCAGTTTGGTATATCCCCTTAAAAAAGGGTAATGAAAAATTCAGGGATGAGTTTTTCATCCAATTTTTCTTTCAAAGATCATTCCTGAATCTTTCACCAGTTTTGTATCCCCTTAAATTGGCCAAATTTAGGGTGAAATTTTTAGGGATGACCTTTTCATACAATTCTTTGTATAAAGCTTATCCCCAAAGTTTTCACCTCAATTTTTAAGGCCACACCAAACTAACCCTTCAGACATAAATTCAAATAAAAAAAAAAAAAACTGAATTAGAACAATTTAGTTTGCATCACTCACTGTCATATTTAAGATTGGCAACAACCATTTCTTAGAACGATAGTTTCAACTCCCAAGTGATTGAAAGTGCTTCAAGGAAATGACATCAACATCCCCATAGATTAATTTGACGACAAAAAAAAAATGAATATCTAGAGCAAATAAATTATGCCATTGTCAGCATAGATAACCATGACACAATCTCAGTTGATTCATTCCAAACATTATTGAACTGATCGGAGAATGAAGGTATGGATCTGTTTCCCATAAGGGTTAAGTACATTGATCTGATGGAGACAAGAGAGGCAATGACATAGACCAAAGTTTTTAGGAGTCATCGTACTGACCTCAGGCTAGCTGAGGGTGAAGGGGGGGAGATGAATTTGAGCTACAGTTATGGCTTAGGGAGTGATTTCAGCAAAGTAACAGCAAAGGTGAGTAATGGAGAAGATCCCTCAATGAGATGACAAAGGTCCCTTTAAAGGCATTGGAAACTCCCTGCAAATGCGCAAAGAGTGATGCCATAACCATTTCCAGCCATGTGAGCCCCACTAGGCGTGAGGCTGCGTGACCCTTGACTTGTAAAAGGTCATGTGTGCGTGGGAGGTATGAGGGGACACGTGTATAATAGAGTTATGTGCTCCATGTCCTAAGTGACGGTGGCCTTGCCGGGCAGCCATATGGGCTGGCTTGGCACGGCCATCCGGCCAGTGCAAAACAATTATAAAATAATGAATAATGATAGGAAAGATCAAATAATCACATAGAAAAGCATCAAATCAATGTTTGCGGGTAAGTATAGAAGCACCAAGATACGATGGGATGAGGAAAGATCGATTTTGAATATTACAATTTTGATATCAAATCATATTAGTATTAATATAGCACAGAGATTTGCATAATGACTGTAAAATAGTATCATATATTTTGAACATCATGGTAATCAAAGGTTATTAGAATAGAATCCACAGAAGAACAACTGAAATGTAAATACAATTTGACATCAGGTGGGGGTATCTTCATTTGATATGATACCTTGATCCATTTAAATTTCTCTCATAGCCATCACCACTAAATGCTCTTGTAACTGCATCCAATAAATTGTGCTCCCAAATTTGATGTTGGCCAGCCATGGCAATATAAATTTTTTCTTTTAATGGATGAAAGCAGACATCCCAAGGGGAATTGAGCAGCTGGGAAAAGGGTGAAATTGAGGAATCTAACTTTGTGGTCCATTAAGGAGCCTAACAGAATCATATATAATAATTAAAAGACGATAATTTAAAATCTTGAGTCTAACTTTGCAGTCCATCACAGATTCTTAGCTATATATCATTGCAAATGCCACTCATCTTCAAAATTTCCTAACAACTTTGTTACCTGAGCGTCTCCATTTCCTCCTCCAATATAATCAGAGCCCTTGGTCCCATTTCCAGCAAGAGTACGCACTCTTTCATTAACAAAATCAATTTCCCTATTAAAGCAGTGTTACACCCAACAGTAAGAAATTGTTTCATTCAAGATATCGAACAGCAAGTTGTAACTGTTATCTAAATTAATAAATTGATCCATTGCTCATATGTAGAACAGCTTGACTCATATTCAATATGGGTACTGCACCAAAGTTCTGTTTGTATCAAATCGAATAAGAAAATATTCTTAAACTTTCTAAAAATCAAATTATGTGCTGATCAGAAATTTTGATATTTTGAAGCAGATATGGATTATAGTTCACAAAGCAAGAGTCTCTCAACTGTTTTCTATGATTAAATTTACCATTAAAATATTTATTAAGCACAGAAGCTATCACAAAGATATAAAAATTAAAATTAGGCTACTGATATTCTGAAGTTATCATGTACCTCAAAGCATGGTTTTCGGTGTCTGCAACATATAGGATATTTTTCTTTGCATTATAAGCAAGGCCCTAGAGAAACATGAACAACAAAAAAATATGACATGTATTAAAGTCATTGCAATTCTCATATTGATGAAATGCCAGAATTAAGCAAGAACTAAGTACACTAGAAGCTCAAACATGATCTACTTTATTTTGTACCTGAGGGCGGTTAAAGGTGGCATCATCAAAGGAACCATCCTGCAAACCTTCCTCCCCACTGCTACCAATTTGTACAATAAAATTCCCATCAAGGTCGGTAACCACCTAAATACCAAACATGGCCAGATGGCTTACTGATAATTTTAGTAAACAAATGCAACTTACTTGCAAAATCAAAAGGAAAGGAAATTTTAGAGCTACATGCATGTCAGAAGGAAGTGAGGGGATTTGGGATTTAAAACTATAATGTATGGTAATTTAGGGTTTAGAGTTTAATTTGTGTTATTTGGGATTTCAGGGTTTCATTATCAGTAATTTTGGAATTTTGGGGGTAGTTGTTTGGTCATTGGAATATCGTATATATAATTCAATTAGGATATTATTTCATATTTTGGATTAGGATTTATGAAGTCATAATTTATTTTAGGGACTCATCTTTATGATTGAATTTGGATAAGAATATTTTGTGTATTAAATAATTGTTCCTGGGTTCCTGTTCCATTATACATTAGTGGAAAACTGGAAAGTCTTTTTTCACAATTCTAAAGCAATTACATGTGGTGCCTTCAAATGATATTCATGATTCATCTTATATATGAGTAAAATTTAAGTAGTAACTGTCTCAAAAATATTTTGCATAACTGCTCAAGGGAACTTGGGGAAATGACCACAGCAGGGTACTTCTAGAAACCTGACAACTATCATCCATAATAAGTGGTGTTAAATATTGTTCCAGATAGTTCATATGAGATGCAAACCGAGTGAGTTCATAGCATAATTACTTCATTTTCATACCAGGTAAAACTTGTACACATATGCACCATGTGGTCATGGAGAGAGACAGAGACAGCACTCACTATGCGGTTGTGGTTGCTGTCAGAAATAAAAAGCCTGTTATTGAGGACATCAATTGCTAGCTTTCCAGGAAACTTCAATGGAGATGTCAATAGGCGAGGATCATTATCTTTTTCCAAAGTCAATGTAATTGGTGTATTGTCCAACATGCTCTGCTTTCCATAAAACAGAAGTGCTGCCTCCACAAAATCTTCAAGATCCTTTCCAAAACACGAACAATGAAAGACTTGTTTTAATCACTACATTGTAAGAAAATCAATAGCTATAACAACAATGGCTACAAGTATCAATAGACGTAATTGGACACTACTCAAAAATCAAATTTTAAGATCAATGGCTATAAAAATTGTAAAGAACCAATTCAACTCAAAAGCTTAAGTTAGTAGATGAGGGCTTCTTTAATGGTTTATATTATACTCTAACACGCTCCCTCACAAGAAAACTCATTGAACTTGAAAGGTGGATGATGCATCAGACCCAACTTACCTGTGCTAAGAAATTCCACACAGAAAATGGGGGGCGGCGAGGATCGAACCCGGGACACGAGGCTCTGATACACCAATTCAACCCAAAAGCTTAAGCTGTTGGGTGAGGCTACATTAATAGTTTTTATATATCTCTAACACGCCCCCTCACACGAGAGCTCACTAGGCTTGAAGGATGGACAATGCATAGGCCAACCTACCTGTGCTAAGAAAGAAATTCCACTAAAAAAAAAGTGGAGGGCAATGAGGATCATCTGATTCCTCTTGTGACATGCCTCCAATTGATCGACAGAAAGTACACAAAGCTGAGACACCTGAACTATTTTACCAAAGGAAGAAACAACCCACACTGCCCCGCCAGCAACTACAATCGTCTGAACCGCTGGTAAGTACTGAATACACTACTTCTTTTATTCCTGAGCTGATATTAATTCTGTTGACATTGGGCTTAGCCCAAATACTAACTATTACAAAATAATAATAAAATAATTCTAATATTTACAATAAAAATACCAAAAAAAAAAAGTGTAAACATGTTTATTACTATCTATTCATAATACATCCTAAGAAGAATAAAAAAAATTTAATTTGATAGATCAAATTTGTATACCATAAAGCACATAAATATGGTTTAATCCTGTTATCTTCATGACCTAAGAATGAAAGTGGGAAGGAATACGCAGCAAAAGAAAGATGCACTGCTTCGTCAAACTTTATTTAAAACATTAGGCCGACATTCCAATCCATTAAGCTATTTGGTAAGGCAGGCATGTTGGAATAGAAATTCTAGGCCCAAAGGCAAGAGCTACATTATAGGACGGCTTTTTCACGCTGTTGAATAAATTTTGAATTTAATTACTAAAATGGGGTGGGTTTCAAAATATTTTCCAAAGCGTATCTTTTATGCCATGTAGGAAGCTTTGAACGCAATTTTTTCTTATTTCTGTTGTAAAGAACCTTGGGATACACCATTCCAAAAGCTAGCTCAAGGGGTGGGAATGCCCAAAGCCTTATAAACTCTACATTAGTTGCTCATACAACCAATATGGGACTATATATCTCAACACGCCCCCTCACACAAGAGCCCTTTGGGCTTGAAGCGTGGATTATGCACAGGCCCAATTTTTGGTTTACCTTTTTGTGCTTTTTGTTTTAATTCCACTTTAAAGTGGGGGACGGTGAGGCTCTGATACCATTTACACCCAATGAGCTTTTCGTGCAGGAGGCTATTGGAGCTGAATATGGGCAAGGCTTTGAGACTTTTAGGGCAGATGGACCATTGAAAGTTGATGTGGACTATTTGAATGATAAATTGCAAGATGGTTTTCTTCAGCGCATACGCTATGCTATGAAGCCAGATGAAGCTTATGGTCTTATATTCTCTTGGGACAATGTGGGACTATATATCTCAACATCTGTATTGACTGTTGACTGCAAATCGCACCGAAAATACTGTATAGCCAGAATTTTCTTGCTAAAATTTTCATCAAAATGAGTTCACATTGTTATCGACTCTTGGATGAAAGGGTGGTCCCAACCACATTGACTTATCAAGTAAAACCACCGTTGAATCTTGACAAATTCTGGCTGAATTTTTCTGACTCTGTAGAATTACTCAACTGCAATAACCATATGTGGCTGTGCAATAGATAGTTACAGGCACCTAAACAAGACCCTCTGTTCAACAGGTGGTATTTCCGTCTGTCGATGAGACGGTTTCTTGTGCCCAAAATCATCAGTCACAAAAGGGGTTTTGTAGGCCCTACACAGCTCATTTCTAGGACAAATAAAATTATTTTTCATATGCTTATGTTGCAATTTTCCTTTCATTTACACTAAATCACTAATACCCACACCCACAGTCACCTAATAAAGGCAATGTAAATGCCAGAGTTTGCATAACATGTGATGCATATAATCCTATAATTATCTTGCATTATTTAAAAATATAACTCCAAAATTTAAAATAAAATACATGCAGAAGAGACTAGAGGTTGTCATCAGTACCTTCTTGCGACCTTCTCCTGCAAGTTGTGCAAGGAGCTTACCATTGGGGCCAATGATAGCAAATGTTGGCCATGAATTTATGCCCAACTTATGCCAAAGGTACATGTCTCCATCATTGACAACCTACAAAGGAGGCAAAAGAAAGATCTGACGAAGCAGGCTTTATTAAGCAAGTGTTCAATAGCCCTAAATCATTTAGAAAAATTAAACATCAAAGCAAAGAACTCAATAAGACAAATAAAATGCCAGCAGTATAAACCATCGGACCAAAAAAGTAAAGGTTCTTCGTAAACTGAACAGGTGAAAGTTGACAATATATTACCAATGTTAAATATTCCAGAAAAAGAAAAAATCACTAAATATTATTTGAATTCCAACTCCAGCTTACCGGGTGAGTGATGCCATAGCGTAGAACTGCATTGCGAATGGCTTCAGAATCTTTCTCATTATCAAATTTTGCAGAATGAACACCCACAACTATAAACTGGACAAACAAAGCATACATCAAATAATACCCATTAACCCTTTTTATTTTTATTTTTTATTTTATTATTATTATTTTATTTTATTTTATTTTGGAGGGGGGGGGGGGAGGGGGATGAGGGTTACAAACCCCTTTTTTTATGTCAAACGTTAATGGGACCACTAAATTACTTTTCATACAAGAAAAATGTAGAAAAATTGAAGCTCATATCATAAAGTACTTTTTAATTGGTATGACAATTTTATATAGCAGAGCCATACACCAAGCTAAATTTGATATCCAAAATATTTAGGCATGTGAAATTGATGATAAGAAATTACCGGCATATCTTTGTATTTTTTCTCCAAAGCATCTAGGTCCGGCAACACATGCATACAGTTTATACAACAATAAGTCCAGAAATCCAGCAGAACAACTTTTCCTTTCAGATCCTGCCAAAGATAGATTCAGAACCTAATTAGTTATCGCAGATCTTTTCATCAGATTATAATTCAAACTGAATAAAAGTACCCTGTGAAACTGAAGAGGAGCTGTATTCAGCCAATCAAGTTTAGACGGAAATTCTGGAACAATTTGAGCATTTCCCCTTGAACAATGAAAAGAAATTATAATATATTAATAACAATTTGACATTTAATGATTCATGTGCTCTCATCCAACAATTTAAACTTTTGGGATTGGTTGTAAATGACATGGTATCTGAGGCTCTACAACCACGAGGATTAGAACTCGATCTTTGTTATCTTCATTCTTTAAATAAAAGTTAAATTTCAGCACAAAGTAGAGCGGGTCAGAAAATTGTCTACACTTAAAGTTAAAAGGGCTCTTGTATTAGGTTAGATATAAGAGGCTAAAGTGCTCTTACACCCAACAGCTTAAGCTTTTGGAATAATTGGTTCATTAAAACAACAATTACAACTTGTTTACAAGCTTCAGTTGCTCATGGATATACCAACATTCAACGTTCAATCTATGCTTCTTTTTCTAAAGGAGGAGGTAATACTTACAATTCTACACACACAAAATAACGAACATACATGCTTTATATTGGATAATATTGATAGAACAATTAAATATTATAAAATATGCGTATTGGGCTAAAATCATGAGAAAATGGTTATAAAGAAATCTATATAGCACTAATACCTGCTTTCCAGATCAGATATGTAATTCACAAATTGCTGGACCCTATCATATCTTGAGTTACCTGAGGAAAAAAAAGCAACAACTCTGACTCTTCATCTTGTGGTTTGTCTCAAAACAAATGGAGAAAAAATACTAAAAAGGTGAATACCAGTATAGTTGACCAGATTTAACTTATGCACACTAATTATAACATGAAAGGTTTCACCTGTCCTACCTAGAAGCTTAAGTTCTCAGGCTGAATGTGTCTTTGACATGACCATAAAGCTTCTTTCACTTTATGGTCCAAAGTTAAAATTTGGGAACTAGTGGAGAGATGAGATCTTTAACCTTATCTAACATAGCGCCATCAATGGCCATAAGATAGGAAACTAGATGAAATGGCAAAAATACATAAAAGACTTCATGGCAAATCAATAGTTCATTACCTTCTTTCTGTTCCAAAGGTGGCTGGGTAACACCAAACAACAGATTCCAAACTGCTTTAGGGGAAGCATATTGCATTGCCTAGTATAGCAGTTAGCCAGTTACACATGATTGACTTCTAAATTAATTGTCCCTCAAGAAAGATTAAAAACTTATGATTTAAGATTCAACATGAATATGTATAATATATACTTAGCATCATATTTTTGTCAATATCATTGTACCTTCCAGTTACTTAAGGTGAAGACAAGGCAAGACATAGCAATGCCCAGACTTCCAAATCTCAGTATATCTCGCCGAGAACCCTGCAACCTGCTCATAAATCATTTCTGCATCCTCATAATAGTAAAACTTGAAAAAAAAAGTGAATATTATTGCTATAGTAAAGAACACAAACAAAAGGTTACAATATATAGAGACTAATGGGCTTAAAGAAATAAACCAAAATACTAAAAACATGAGGAAACAAATAATTACAATATTAACTAGAGATAATTTAAAGAGTTGGGGAAATATTAAACCATTAATGTAGCCTCACCCATCAGCTTAAACTTTTAGGTTGAATTGGTTCTTTCCATGGTATCAGAGCCTCCATGACCAAGTGGTCACGAGTTCAATCCTCAACGCTCCTATTCTCTTAATAAAAATAATTAATTATTGTGGACTTTCCTAGCACAGGTAAGCTGAGCCTGATGCATCATCCACCCTTCAAGCTCAATGGGCTCTCATGTGAGGGGGCGTGTTAGAGAAATATTAAACCACTAATGTAGCCTTACCCATCAAATTAAGCTTTTGGGTTGAATTGGTTCTTTACAAAAGATAATTCCAATATTTACAACACTCCCCCTCAAGACATTAGGTTGACGACCAGAAAGAATATATGGAGTAGTGATCAGTTAACTATCTAGTTTCTCTTTGATGAAGTGACGGTCAATCCCAACATGTTTGGTTTGATCGTGTTGGACCGTATTGTCGGCTATACAGATGGTTGACTTATTATCACATATTAACTTTATAGATCTTTCACATCTCACATTGAGATCATCCAGAATGATTTCCAATTATAATAATTCACAAATACATTGGGACATGACTCGAAATTCTGCTTCTACACTTGATCTAGCAACCATATTTTGCTTTTTACTTCTCCATGTTACTAGGTTTCCACAGAGAAGCATACAAAAGCCCGAGATAGACCGTCGATCAGTCACTGACCCAACATAATTGGCATCTGCATAAACTTCTAAGGATAGGCTTCCCCCTCTCCAAAATAATAGCCTTTTGCCTGGTGTGGCTTTTAGATACTAGAGAATCTTGTCCATGGCTTGCAGGTGTTTTTCCCTTGTGTCATGCATGAACTGGCTAACAATGTTAACTGCGTAAGCTAGATCAGGTCAAGTATAAGCCAAATATATCAATCTTCCCATCATTCGTTGATAATATCCTCTGTCAATTGGAGGGTTCTCATTTGCACTTCCTAGTTTATGATTCTGCTCAATCGGAGTACTGGAAGGTTTACACCTAAGTTTTCCTGCTTCTTTTAGGAGATCAAGAACACACTTTCATTGACAAATAGTGTTCCCCTGCTTCGAATGAACAACCTCTATGCCAAGAAAATATCTCAGTTTCCCTAGATCTTTAACTTTAAATTCAGCAGTCAATCTCTCTTGCAAAGTACGTTTCTCAACTATCTAATTCCCTGTTACAATAATGTCATCAACATAGACTATAACAATTGTGAGCTTACCTGCCTAGGAATGTTTAAAGAAAAGTTTGTGATCTCCTTAACTTTGCTTATGTCCCAATGAAACCATAACCTTGGTAAACATTCCAAACCAAGCATGTGTACATTGCTTCAAGCAATACAACGCCTTTTTTAATCTACAAACTTTATAATCTCCATTTGTAGAGTCAAATCCCAGTGGGATTTTCGTATAAACTTCCTCTTCTAATTCGTCATTGAGAAAGGCATTTTTCACATCAAATTGTTTTAAATCCAAATTAAAGTGAGTAGCAAGGGCAATAGGACTTTTACAATATTCATTTTGGCCACTGGAGCAAATGTTCCTTTGTAATTAATGCCATAGGTCTGTGTGTACCCCTTGACTACAAATCGAGCCTTTTACCTCTCGAGAGTCCCGACATAATTATATTTCAGGGCTTTTTATTGTTTGAAAAAATAAAATAAAATGATAACAAAAAATTAGTAAATAAAAGAAGGGGAATGAAATTTCTAATTGTGCATCAAATGTGGCCACATTATTGACGATGCTTTCCCATTATGGTTAACAAGTTTTAACATAACAATCTAAAAGAATTGAGGACCACAAAAAATACAAACCCTCAAAAAAGTAAGTAGAATTAGTATTGAAACTATACAATCTAAGCCTGGATATTAAAGTAATAGTTATCTATGCATCATCTAAACCACAATAGTTGGTCAAAAGCAATGCCAATGATGCTAAGACTTCTTATCTAACAAACCTTTTTTTAGAAGGAAATATTTAGATTTCAGAAGATAGATTAAAAAATGAAGTATACAACATAAAACAGTCTTACCCGCCAATTGAGAAAATTCCCTCATCCGTACCACTTGTAATCTTTCCAACTCCATCATCTGTTTTTCCAGAAAGCACAGCAGATGAAGATTGCACAGAGTTATTTAGAGTTTCAGAGCCCTGCATCCTCTTATCTGCAATGGCATGTTTAGATAAGACCTCATGCAACATAATATCTACACTCTTGAGCATTATCCAAGAACAATTGTCAGAAAAATAACTATCCCGACTAAAAGCTATGCTTTAATAAAAGAAACAACTTTATAATATACAATAATCCATGCAGTACGAAAGTGTGCATTTCACAATAGAGGAGAAGGATTTGTAATACATGGAGCACCCATTTCTCAGAGTTCTTAAATTATAGAACAAATGTAGCTTTACCATTCTACATCAAAGACAATAAAAAATTAAAGGAAAACGATAGATTTACAACTAACTCCCAAGGCTACATACTATATCCAACAGAGCCACCACTGAGAATATCATCCAGTGAAACACTTCCTATGTCATCTCGGATAAGCATTGGGCCAGCAGACTCTAAAACCTCATCTGCTAATGTGGTCCTTACAGCTATGCATCTGTAAACAATGAAAATGACAACGTAAATATTTTTCACGTCTATATTCAAAAGTACATAAACAAATCGTGATTTTGTAGTCTAAGAATAGGCTGGTTCAAGCAACCATTATAAATCCCTCTTTTTTAACATGGAAAATACAGAATACTTACCTCATTTGTGCAGCTTTGGCAGCTTGCACTCCAGCTAATGCGTCTTCTATAACAATACACTGGGAAAACGTACAAGGAGATTACTTTTTGGTGTTTAAGAGAAAATACAACTATCCTTTTACATAAGGATATCAAACTTGATATATATTGATCTAAGCTTTGCGTCAAAATTTAATGGATGCAAATATTCACTACTTAAGAGAAAATAAACTCACAAAATTTAATGGATGCAAATATTCATTACTTTAGAGAAAATAAACTCACAATCTATCCACTAAGTAACTCCTCAAGCATTTTCATAGTCCCATTTAGAATCGCAGAAATGATTTTAGGCCAAGGGCGGAGCCAGGGGAGGGCTAGTGTGGGCGGCCGCCCCCCAAAAAGTGGATCTCCTCATTCTCTAGCAATGGACAAAGCTGAGATTGCAATGACGGAGGAGGCATCTTTTTGGGGCTGAAATATGGGAGCAGAGGCTCCTTTTTTTATTGGGTCATATGTGAAAGCGATTGTTGGGGTTTCTTTGGGTGCAGAAAACTGCTCAACACAAGAAAAGGCGTTAGCTTTGAACGATGAAAGGTTTTCCTGATATGGGTCAGTTTCAGAACAGAGGAAAACACAAAGAGATGCATGTGGGAAGGGAAACAGAGAGAACAGAGAAAAAAAATTCCTGATATGATGCTCCTCAGCCCCAAATAAAACCCCAATCCTGGCTCCGCCACTGTTTTAGGTTGTCATCCATGAAAGAAATTCAAGACAACTTAGCAAACATTCAAGAAGTTTATTACCTAAAATTGAAGTACCAAACCAGTATTCTTCTAGGTTCATGCTTGTCAATTATTATTTACATATTCTTGTCATCCTAATAACTAACAACAATTAAACACCGCCACTCTAAAAAGTCAATCACCCAAAAAAAATACAACTTAGGCCTCTAATGACAAGCTCAATCTAGTAGGATATACCTCACTGGGGGGCACATTCAATATTCTCGATGCAGCTAAGAAAATATCAGGAGCAGGTTTCAAATTCTCAAAAGCATCGGCAGACACAATCGCATCGAACCTGATAGAACAAATACAATAACAATCTTGATACCGTGCAGTTTACAATTGAAATCAAGCTGATGAAGTCAGACATGAAATGTAAGAGAGAATGTTTGCTGTTTGTATTTCATTTAAATTAAACATACTACAGCTTAGCATAAAATATGCAGTTCATCTAGGATTATTATGGTTTAATGCGTCAGTGTGGTTATAACTAATTGAAGAGATTAAGTAAAAATTTCAAATAAAAAATATCAACAACGTATACTGCATATTATCAGAAATATTAAAATGTCAATATCTCCATGCACATTCAACAAATCACTCAATGTTAGCTTACATTGACAATGGCAAACCAGCAGCAGCTAGATTTGCATCAACCTTTATACGATCAGCACTAGATGCAACAGCCACTTTAAGCCCTTTGCTTTTACACTGTTATATGGTGGCATGTCCTTTCTTAGTCTCTTGATGAATCAGCAAGGAAATCAAATCATGTTAAACATGATCAGTGTTACATACCTGAGAAATGAGTTCGATGGCACCTGGAAATCCTATTCCTGAATCTGGTTTTGCATACTGAGATAAGTGACAACACTTTAGGCAATATAGAGTTAAAGAAACAAAAAGTAGCATCAAGTGAAGTAAAAATCATTTACCTTATCCAAATATATTTCAAAGAACCTCTTTTTTGCAGCTTCAGGGTCAAATCCTTTAACTCCCTTAACAGAAGCAACACCTCCCAAAAAGTTTGCTTCTCCTTTCATGTTTAAAAGGAAACAACGAATAATATAAAAGCTTAATAATCAAGTAAGCAACAGAATAAAACAAATGGTGTCTGCCAAATAATATAACTAGATCAAAGCAAACAAAGAATGAAGTTAGACAAGATTAGTACAAAGACAAGTGGACACATTCTTTACTTCATGTTACACTACACCCACTGCACAGGTTTGGAAGTAAAATAGAAAAAGAGATTTGAGGAATTACTTTCTTTTTATCTGGTTTAAGAAAGGAAATAATGCTACCACATTCAATTGTTTGGTATAACAAACATTCTAACCCTAAAGCTAAATTGAAACAAAAGATTTTGCTTCAGAGATGTGGTGCTCAAAGCCCATTGTTATCCTGCCATTCAAACCTTTGGCTGTGACAGATTAATACCTGGATTTAGTTTTGATCGACGTGTGATTATGCACTACCATTGTTGCCACATCATTATGATAACCATTAGGTTTACAAACGACTTTAAAGAGTAGAGTTTATTTAGACTCAAAATTAAGCTCATGTTTTAATTCCAGCAAAAGCGTAGCTCAACATGTATGAAGTTTCGAATAATCAAACAGAAATCCAAATGAGAAAATAGAGGAGCAGTTATGGCAACTATTCTTACTCAGAGAGCACAAATGTTAGCGGAAAACACAAAAGCATATTCATAAATCACGGTAGAGATTGAACAAAGGAGTTTAAAAAAACCACAGAAAACAAAAATCAGAGACGTAGATAAGTACCGGTTCCCATGAATGGCACGAAATCGTCGACGGTGACTTGGACGCCCATCTCGGCGAACACATCAACGGCAGCTCTTCTAGAAGGCTCTTCGCTGTTGCAGAGAACACCATCCATGTCAAACAACACTGCAGAAACCTTCCCCCACTCTCCTCCACCTTCTCGTGATTTTGAGGACACATTGTTCTCTTCAACCTTCACCGCGCAAGCTTTCACCACAAATCTCGGCGTCAAAACGAGGCGTTTCGATCGGCAATGGAAGAATCTGGATGGAAGCGAAATAGGTTTCAGTGATTTGATATTGGAGGATAAGAAGAAGTGGGTTGTGGTAGTTGCGCGGGATAGACAAGAGTGACTTGTTTCAAAGGCCATCATGCCGTGCTGCTATTACTTCACTCAACTGATTCCGTTTGCGAATGGCGGGGAGATTTTATTCATATATATTATTTTCGAGGATACCTTATCCACTTCGTGACCAAACATCTTTTTTTTTTTTTTTTAAATATTTTTTAATATTCCTTGGTGCTTCTGCAGTTGATCCTGTAGCTGCTTAATGCAAATGCAGTTTGACAAGGACACGAGCCTAAATATAATGGATAAATATATCACTTTGTAGCTTAATACATTAAGTCTAGCGCATTTTCTAATTTTCGTCTCACCAGATTCACTCTAATACTCTATGATATAAATATATCACTTTGTAGGATGGACTGTGGAGTGCTTGGTAGTTGTTATTAGACAAAGAAGTGTAACGCTTAATCAGAGGTAACTTTTTTTATTTAAATTGTGGTAATATACAATCACCCGTCTAAAAACGTGTGTTAGATAGATTTGATGGCTAGACGCATTAATAAGAATTTTTTAGAAGATTATAAAAAAAGATAAAAATTAAAAAGTTATTTATTTTCAAAATAAATGTGTTTTTCACTTTATATATGTATTTGGATATAAATTATAAAAAAAATGTCTAAAAATTAGTTAAAATAATATTTTTTTGAAGTTTTGTGAAAAAAATACGTAAAAGTGATTTTTAAATAATGATATAACTCTGACTTAAAAAAAACATTTTACAAAAAGTAAATACATAAACTCAGTTGACAAGTACATTTGATGCGCGTCTATGTGCCTAACATGTTAAAATGTCAACATCACAATATATCTTCATTCAAATAAACATTAAATAACGGTAAGTTCTCACTGAGACTTATGTCACGCCTTAAAACCAATACACTCCCGTATATATGATGAGTCACCATAGATTTAATGACTGGCAGAAGTATTTCAAAACATAATAAATTCATCAATACCAAGCCAAAAGTTAAATAGGATAATCCACGTAGTCTTAATTCTATTTGGAACATTGACCTACAACATTTTGGAAGCATAACAAAGATATTATTAGGTGACATAAACCAGAATTTCTATTAACAAAATGTGTGTATGTAAAAAGGGAATTAGTTATGTACTAAAAAAATTAGTTTTTTTATTTTATATGAGATTTTTCTTTCTTTCTCCACGTACAATTTCAAGGTGGGTTCCATCTTCTTCTTCTTTTTTTATCTTCTCACCTTTTTGTAGATTCCATTCATCTACTGGATCAATTGGAAAAAATAATTTTTTCTTGTAAAATAAAATAAATATTTTTCATGCAAAAGTATACGGAATTGTTTATATATATATACCGAATGGACCAATGGCGGAGCCAAGATTTCATTTCAGCTGGAACCAAAAAATTTGACACATCAAATTATCAAAACTTTTAGAAAAAAAAATTATCATGAATTCTAATATATTTATCTAAATTATTTACTAAATAATATCACATAATATTAAAAATTTAAATAAACAATAGACAACTATTATATATCAAAGCAAATAGCCTAATACATCTAACGTATTCTTTTAAAAATTCTCACTATTTAACGTTATATATCAAAAATTCTCATTATATATCACATTTAACGTTACAAATAGCCTAAACATATATCAAAACAATAGGCTATTAAATGAATAATAATTTTTAAAAAATTCAGCAGGGCCCAAGCCCCATTTATGCACTACGTGGCTACGCCACTTGAATGGACCAATAATTGTTAGTTTATCGACCGCTTAACAAAATCTCAGGATTTAACCTATTTAAAAGATGGATAAAGAATTTCTCTGATCAATAGAAATAAATTAACTCTGGTGAGTTTAAAAAGACGTCATTTTAGAATGAAAATTAAGGTATTTTTGTAATTCTAATATATTGCAAGATTATATTAATTTTTATCATTATAATTTTTTAATTTTATAATTTAAAATAATGTTATTTTCAGCTCATTGAAATTAACTTTGTCTATAGTGACTATGAGTGAAAGAATACTTTTCTCATAAAAGATATATTGGATAGAAAAATGCAAATTTAAAATTAAATTAATTACGTCTATTAGAATTTTGAATACCGATTAAAAGTACTTTAAAAAATCAGATGCGCTTTGTTTTTCAATTTTTTCCTCTGTCAAACGACCCTGATAGTAGAAAAATGTAATCGTTTTTTGCATTGACGAAAATGGCGGGTTGGGAAGGTTAGCTCAACTTACTAAAATAAGACTGAGTCACGTTACCTGTATCAAGTACCAATGCTGTCTCAGCCTCCCTAGGGTTGCCACTACTAGCTGCCTACCGCCATTCTCAACGGAAAACGCTCCCGTGTTTGTCGCGTCGCGTGTATTCTACGTCTGTCTCTGCAACTCTTTCTTCATAGGATTTTGGTTAACAACTCCAGGCAATTTCAATCATAAAATTACTCATAAGTCATAATTTTATCATAAATCTAAATTTTTTTATTAATTTCATGCAATAAGAAATAAGTCATCTTATGTTATAGACATAATCATATGTGAAACTCACTTATAACAAAAGAAAAAAAAAAGCAACACACAAATTGATATATGTGTAAGAAAGAAAAACATTCTACAATAACAACATGAGAATATATTTTTCCAAATATAAATACCATAACTGAGATTTTCATGAAAATTGTCAGATGCAAAAACTGTACTTTATGGAGTTATTTTCTGATTGCAGCCGATCCCTATACCTTCTTTTGTCTTCTCCTCCATATCTAACTAAGGAATTAGTTTTTTTTATATAGAATTGTGTCTAGTTAAAATTATTGTATTTTATTGTTAGAGAAATAATTACTTGATAAAAATTATAATTAAAAAATAAATTATTTTTTAATTTAAATTTTAAATAAAATAATAATTTTAACTAAAATAAGTATTATGAAATCTGACCCGATCCGGCCGGGTCGATCCAAAATTCGACGAATTGGTCATTTGACCGATTCGAATCAAACATCGGACCGGTCATGCATCGGACTCGGTCAAATCTAACCAAACTCGATCAAAATCGGTGACCCGATTCGGTCATGCAATTTTATAAAAAAAATTAAAATTATTTCATCTTGTCAGAAAAAGTATAGAACTCATTTTAAAAAATAAAATTAAGAGAATGTGACATATGTCATTTCAATGTAGATGAATTTGAAAAGTATAAATTCATAACATCTGGCCTTTTGAATGTCATTGAAAGATATGCTTATGGGATTCTGAGTTGCAATTTAAATCGATATACTAATAGCGTGCATTTTCATTTATTTGCACTTTATGAACTTGTAAAAATGTGATTAGATAATTTTTGAGCTTATTTAGTGAACCTTGTTTAATTAACTCATTTTAGATATGAAAAATATAATTAAATATATATGTTTATATTTATATATTTATATATATTCGAGTCAATCGGGGTCCGACTAGTGACCCACCGGTCCGATCAGTGACCTAGTACCTCGACTGTGTCGATGCCCGAGTTCAATTTTTTTTGAAAATATTCCAATCGGTTCATCGCTTCGCGACTAATCTGATTCGGGACGAATTTAGGATTTAGAATTTAAATCCCTCCTAAAAATTATTCTTTACAAGGACAAATATTTTTCCAATTCACTGGTTATATAATTAAACCAACCACTTTTTATGTAATTTCTCTCGGTCTATTTGTTTTCTCTCTTTTACTTTGATTATTGATAACTGTCACGTAATAATCATAATACTTATCCTATGTATTTATGCAAAGTTGCAAACAAATTACATTTTTACACAACATGCAATCCGAAAAGGATGAGTTTATTTATGTAATGCGGAAATTTTAAATTGAAAAAAAAACACTAAACCTTATTTGAAGTTAAAATAAAGCATCTCGTATTTATTCTAAAGAAATTCCCAATTCACAAAATTATAAGGGATTCCCGCGAAACAAAGCACCCCACTGTCTACTGCTGCCATCATTTATCAAGTGTCAAAGGACCTCAAACCCAAAACATCTTCCTCATGAATCATTCCCCCCTAACTACATCTGTTTTGGTTAGACAAAGTCTGAAAAGCAAGAAAAAAACACATTTTAGAAGAAGCTGATTTAAAATATTTTTATTAAAAGTACATTTAAAATATCAGTTAAGAAACTAAAATTATGAATTAAATAAAAATATTTAATATCTTTAAGAAATATATATCATATTTAAGTAATAAAAGACAGCATTAAATAATAACATTTAGTATTCCTTAATCAGTATCTTAAAAATACCCATTACCAAAACCTTTTAAAATATACTCTCTCTCCCTCTCCCTCTCCCTCTCCCTCTCCCGTAGAGTCACATTCCATGACTTTACACCTCACCAATAGTTAATGTTCATCAAGCTTATCCAGCGAAGCAGGGCAACACGTTTCTAATATGTCATCTGTTTCTACTATATTTATATTAGGAATTTATTATTTTTATGTTAAATAAAAAAAAATTTATCTCCTATACACACAAATTCAAGATGAGTCACATTTTAATTTTTTCTTTCTCTTCCCTTGAAAGTGAACCTCACTTATTATACAAAGAAGTCAGTAGGAACTTACAAAAAAAAAAAAAAGAGTCAGTAGGAGATAATTATTATCTCTTACTACATAAGAAAACTATTACTCTTTATATTATGGTACATGGGACGAATGTTTCTTATATTATATTTTTGAAAAAAAAATTTCTGCAGTTAATGCAGAAATATAAAGACTATTATCTGTATTTATTTCCAAAACGACGTCGTTTTGCTATTAAAATTTTAAAAAATTATAAATATAAAGACTATTATAACCTTGAAATAAATTAAAATTACAAAACACCATGATTTCCGTCTCAAAACGACGTTGTATTGGGCTTACTGCAGATAACTTATATGCAGTAACTACAGAAAAAGCGAACCCTATATTTTTATATGGGAAAAGTATTTCTCCGGTCACTGGAGATAAAATTATCTCCATTGAGCTCAAATGACGTCGTTTTGGGGTTATAAGATTAAAAAACTATGATGACAAAGACTAATGTAACTCTGCAATATATTATAATTGCAAAAATACTTTGATTTTCGTCTCAAAGCAACATCGTTTTGGGCTCACCAGAGATAACTTATTTCTATTGACCGGAGAAATCATTTACCCTTCTTATATACACATAAAAATATATAAAGCTTATGTGGAATAACATAAAGAGAAGAAAAAGAAAAAAAAATATAAGTCTCACACATTTTTTTGTATATATAAAAAATAATTTAATCACATGATAAATATTAATTTTTTATACAATATATGCTGTTTTAACGAAGGTCCTTGTTCGTTATTATTATTATTAGAGTACAAGGTAAGGCCTTTTTTTACGGATATACTTTTTTATTTTCCAAAATATATTTTTCATTATTTCTCAAAATGTTTCATTTGATATTTGTACTAGAAATTTGATTTGATAAGAAATTACTTTCTAATACAAAAATTAAATTGAACATTTTTTAAAAGAATTTTATAAGAGTTATGTTGTAGGGAAAATGATTGTGTTATATTATAGAGATTCGTTTTGCGTGCCGTAATTTTATTTTATTTTCAAAACATACAGGTTCCATAAAATATTGTGTGTGTATAAAACTTTTTATGATCATATGAAATGATCAATGCAAACCCCTCTTGAAAATCATGAAAAAAGAGGGATATTAAAAAAAAATTATATCCTTTTAAAAAGCCTACAATGTAACATTTATAAGAACTGATGGAGGGAGAGAAAAAAAAAAAAGTTCTTTTCATTAGAGCCATCAGTTGCCGTTGGTTGTCACTTGTCACAGTGATTTGGACATCTTTTCATGTCTATTGATATTGATCGTTGATACAAGGCTTGTCGATGTGCTATTTGAATTTCTCTTACCCATACGACTCTTCGTTCTGTACTGTTTCGTCATATTTGTCAATGTTTAAGACTTGAAGTCTTTTAAAGTTTAGACTCACCCACCTACTCTCACAGACAGAGAGAAAATACACACATCCACAGAGAGAGGGAGAGAGCATATTAGAATGATGAGTTCTTCAGTAGCTGAAGTTGAGAAGAAGAAAGCAATGTGGCTGTATCCAAAGGTTTTGGGTTTTAATCCTTCTGAAAGATGGGGACACTCTGCTTGCTTCTCCATGGGGCTTATGTATGTCTTTGGGGTATGAGTAAAATCCCTTCTATTGAAAAAGTAAAATAAAGCAAAAAGAAGTTTTTAGTTCCATATAATTAATTATTTTTAGTTACTTTCTTAATCACATCTAGATATTTTGTGAACCTACTTGTTATTGGGTTGTCATCATTAATGATGTCCGGACACTGCTCCCACAAGTTGTAATTCTTTGGAGCTGTGTTTCCTGAAATAGTTATGTTATGTCCTCATCTCTGAGAATTTGTGTTCTTGTAGTGTGCTTATTAATTTCGCAAGCGTACAGTACTTCTTTCTCAAGTTCCCTGCGTCATTGCTATCTATGGCTAAGAACCAAAGGACTTTCTTCTCTGAATTTTAGTTTTATCCTAATCTATTTGATCGAGTATTTTTCTTGGAGACAATTAAGTGAATTCATTTTTCTTAGTGTACTTATAAGTGGGACAAGATGTGTTTGGGTTACCATCATGTTTTTTATTTCTTAATATAGTAACATCTACATTTTCATTTTCATTTTTCTCCTCCGTTTTTGCTCACCCCTCCCTGCGTTACACAACTTGCACTTAAAAAGAAGATCTGCTTCCATGTCCTGGTAATTTGAGAACCTCGTAGTTAATTGCTTATTAACAGTTTCTTGCCGCTTGATAAATAGTTCATATTGCAAAAACCTTGTTAAGCAGAATTAATCATAAAAGGAATATATTTTATTTTTTTCCCCTGATTGTAGTATGTTACATGCTTTTGTCGTTTCCTCATGATGATTGAGTCGGATAGCTATTATGAAAACCGTTGTGTCTTTTATTGGAGTTAGTAACAGAATAATTTCACTCCATATTAGTTGTTTTAAATGATAAAAATATTTTGAGAAGGGAAAGGGTTTCTTGACATTTTTTGGTCCATAAGACCAGTGAACCTTGAATTTAATTGAAAAGAAAAACAGAGAGGTTGCAGTGAGGTGAGGGAGAGTTAAGAAAATGCAAGAACACAATTCTCATTTCCTTTCTTTTGATGGACTTGCAATTCTACATGTGAAAGTAAGACTCCTCCTGTCATTCATTACATCGCCTTGCAAACTTGTGGACAATTGCTTCACTGATTGTGATTCTTGGTTTGTGAAGCTTTGAATGTATCTTTAAGATAAAATATTGTGTTTACTATTTCAGGGCTGTTGTGGGGGACTGCATTTTAGCGATGTTCTCACTTTGGACCTTGACAAAATGATTTGGAGCAAGCTTGCTACCACGGGTGAAAAGCCAGGTCCTAGAGATAGCCATAGTGCTGTTCTTGTAGGGCATAAAATGATAGTGTTTGGTGGCACAAATGGCTTCAAGAAGGTGAATCATCTTCATATTCTGGATCTTGTTACCAAAGAGTGGGTTCGTCCTGAATGTAAAGGGACCCCTCCTTCTCCACGTGAAAGCCATACTGCCACACTGGTTGGTGATGAAAGATTAGTTATTTTTGGTGGTAGTGGAGAAGCTGATGCAAACTGCTTAAATGATTTGCATATTCTTGATCTTCGAACCATGAGATGGACTTCTCCTGAGGTGAAAGGTGATTTGCCTGTCCCTAGGGATAGTCACAGTACCATTGCAATTGGTAACAAGCTTATTGTGTATGGCGGAGACTCCGGTGATAAGTATCTTGGCAATGTTGATATGCTTGATATGGCAACAATGACTTGGTCTAGGGTATGGTCTTTTCTCCCTCTCTCTCAGATATTGCTAATAATTTCCCCGAAAGTTGAAGAGGGAAAATATCATATTTTCAACTAGAGAGTATTTAATAATGCCTTTCTTGGCATTTTAATAACAGTTGACAGTTCAAGGTTCTTCACCAGAAGTCAGGGCAGGACATGCTGCAGTGAATATTGGAACAAAGGCAAGTTCTATTATTCATATTCATTGTTATCGGGACTTGCTTATTATTAAATTTATATGGAACTCTTAAATTTATTTAATAGTTAAATTTGTCAGGTCATTCTTGAATTTGTAACTCATTACATAGATCCCCATCATTTTCTAATTAAGATGCTCAGATTCTTGTGTTTCATTTTTATTTAGTATATGAACTCGCCATGATGTGCAGGTCTATATCATAGGAGGGGTTGGAGATAAACGTTACTATAATGACATTTGGAGCTTTGATATCTGCACTTGTTCATGGACTCAACTTGATATATGTGGTCAACAGCCACAAGGGCGATTTTCTCATACAGCTGTTGTTGCAGACATGGATATTGCCATATTTGGCGGGTAGGTTCATATAAATCAATATAAGTATTTCTAACGAATTTTACAATGTTCATCTCTTTTTTATTTCTATGCGCTAATAAAATTTTCGGCCTGAATGTATAATTTGTCTGGTAGCAGGTGTGGAGAAGATGAAAGTCCTCTTAATGAATTGTTAGTGTTGCAGCTTGGAGCAGAGCATACAAATGAGCGTTACAACATTTCCATGTGCAAAGATTTTGGAACTTATTGGAATCAAGAAAAGAAGATAATCCCAGTAGGAGCACATACCAACTCGGTATAGAAATTCATGTAGCTGCCTATGCCATTATTTACCTATCGTTTTTTCAAAAGTAGAAGTAATAGTGTGTTTTGAAGCAGAAAACTATACTTCTGGGGAATAATATGAAATTATTCAGAAAAGGAGCTTATGAAGTTATGTCTGAAAAAGCGCCAGCTTATCAATTTGATTCAGGTGGGTTGAGACTTATCATATAATATTCCTTTGAGTGCAAATGGAGACTCAAAAAGGTTTGATTGACTGAAAATAATAACTATTTATAATAGGTACTTCCAGACAGAAGAGGAGAAGAATTGCTGCAGCAAAGGTGTGGAATATTGAATCAGAACAAGAACAACATTTTCTTTCACTGTCCCTGAATTCATCTCCGTATAAATCCGATAAACAAACAACCCCAGGTCAAAAAGCAAATGCTTCTGTTATGAATTCTCAGCAGTATGTTGAGTTCAAACAGATAAATCAAATTCCAACCAATTGCCAACATGACAATGGCTCGAGTAATAAAAGAGCTTTGAAGAATATCCCACAAAGAAATCCAAAATGTCTTCATTTCCTCGAATATCAACCTAAACGAGAACGGTGTCTTCATAGTCATGAGGATAGAAAAAGAGCTCAACACCAGGCTGCGGAGCGAGGACCCATTCAACACGTGGTGAATCCTTTGCCTTCTAATTTTAGAATTTAACTCTGCTCAATTTTTTCTTTATTGGTCATTGTTTTCACTCTGGATTTAAAATACAAGATTGGTGCTGAAGTTCGGGGGAGAGTTGATGGAGCCTTTGGCTCAGGTTTGCTCATGCCTGCAGCTGTGAATGGAAGGGTTTTCAGGCGAGTCTTATTTGCACCTGTAAGCTTCTGAACTTTGCTTCTATAATGTGTCACATTTTTATTATAATTTACGTGCTGTGACCAGTTTCAGTAACAAACAAAATGCAGCAGGGAGCAGGAGTTGTCTCGAGGGGGGGCAGTATGGAACCAAATCGTTGTCTAACAAGTAGTTCAATTCCCTCTCAATCATTTATGAGCTCAAATCATGGAGATTATTTAAGGGCTTCCCAACATGTGGATAATTTAACTCCACCATCTCCAATCATGCGGGGCACTCCCATTGTATCCGAGGAGAATAGAATCAGGAGTGACCTTCAAGGGTTGGTTTTAACACTTGGAGGACCTGATAGTGGAAACCCTCAGGCAAAATATTGAGGCGGCAAATAAAATAAGGTTTAAGTAAATTTCGGAGATAATCCCATGCACAAATTTCTCAGGTGAACCATTTTATCTGTGTTTGTATTTGACTTTTGCTTTCCAGCGTAGTCCCCTCTTCTTCCCATACAACAGGAAGATTTTTATTAGATGATACTTCTTAATGAGATAATTTCCTCATAATGGTTCTAAGTTAAGAGGATTCACAATATATTCAAATCAAGGATTCATTGAACATGATCCACTCGTCTCAGAAAGTAACATGAAAAGACCTTAGATATACTGTGTTAAACATTTTTTGGGCATAAAAGCATTAGATATAGAATTTGAATTTGGTTTTATTCGCAAAAAAGAAATATAGATTGATTTTTTGGTGTACGTAAAAGAAATTATATTGCTTGCACAAATTTGTGTAAAACTATTTATTAATTAAATTTCACGAAATTTCAAAATATTGGTACAGAAAATAATTTAGATTGTGCACAATTGCACATGCTCTCCTACTATACTCTGCCTTGGGAGGGCTTTCTTTAATTTATCTTCTCTTTAAAAGTAGAAGTTGGGCATAATAAAATTTTACAAAAGTTCTTATAATAAATTTTTTTTATAAAATATAGAAAAATAATCAAATGCTCCTATGAGAAACTTTTTAAAGTTGTATCATTGAAATGTGTTTTTTTTTTAATGAACAGCTTTTAAGTGACTTTTAAGTTATAAATTTTATATAATCATCAAATATTTTATGATTTTTTTTTTAACTTTAGTACAGGCTACCCTCAACATGGAAGGATTCACAACTAGTGAGTCATTAATTGAATTAATTACCCAACAACTGAGTATTCTGATAACTTAGTCGAGTTTAATAGCATTGTTAAATTTATGGAAAAGTTTACCAAGGTTTCTGTCGTTTGCTTCAGAATTACTTATGTTCTTGTGGATTTTTTTATCATATGTCCTTATGGTTTGTAAAATAGTATATTTTTTATCACATATGTCCCTGTGGTTTTTTATTTTTTACAAAGCATAGGGGCATATGTGATAAAAAAAAACACAGGAACATAGGTGATTCTGAAGCAAATTACATGAGTATTGGTGAACTTTTTCCTTAAATTTATTGAATCACAATAGGTATCTCGTTTTACCAGTTTTTTTGTATCTTATATTGTAAATTGTACTGAATTGTGAAATTCACAAATGTAATAAAAAATAATTTAAACATATATAATATTATATAAATCCAAATTTCAAAAAAAATTAAGGGTGTATTTGACTTTGCTCTGATTTTTTTACGGGTTCTATTTCTCTCATGTTGTTGGAGATAAGTATCTTCTATCATAGACACATGATATGGTGGGGCTCACCACCCATTAGAAAAAGAAAAAAAGAAAAAGTGGTGGCACAATTTTTTATGTGAAAGTAGCATAAGATAGTTACCTCATGTAAAATGAGACAATGATATCTCTTTTTTTATTCTTAAAATTGTTTTATAGGATAGTCAATAAAATATGAGTTTTCTATATTTTTTTAGGGTTCGTTGTTATGCAGTTACTACAGATATATCTGCAATAAGCCTAATACGATGTCATTTTGGAGGGGAAATCATTAGGGGTGGCAATACAGGTATTGACCCGCGGGTTGACCCGTGACCCGACCCGCCAAATCACGTGTCGTGTCAACCCGCGGGTCAGGGCGGGTCGTGTCAGGGTTGTGTAAATGTGACCCGTTTTTTTTCGTGTCGGGTCACGTGTCAACCCGCGGGTTCGCGTGTCAATCCGCATAGTGTCATTTTTTTATTAAATATTTTATTATATTATTATTTTTATTCATTTATATATTGATATATATAGTCATTGTTTAGTATAGAAAAGAATAGAAGTAACTAAAAATCTCAAAAAACACAAGCTAATCTTTTTTTTTATTATTATTTTTTATTGTTTTTAATTTATTTATTTTTCAAAAAATCCCACTTTTTTTTTAATTTTAAATTTTACGGGTCGTGTCGTGTCGACCTGTGACCCGCAACGGGTCATGTCAGGGTTTGTGTTTTACGACCCGTTTACAAAACGGGTCGTATCAGGGTCGTGTCAAATAGTGTACGGGTTAAAAACGTGTCGTGTCGTGTCGGGTTGACCCGTATTGCCACCCCTAGAAATCATGGTGTTTTTGTAATTTTAATTTATTTCATAATTATTATAGTTTTTATAATTATAATTATTTAATTTTTCAATCTCAAAACAACGTCGTTTTGAAAATAAATGCAGATAACTTATCTGCGGTAACTGCAGAAATATTATTCTATTTTTTTATTTTAAAAATTAAAAGTACAAACACAAGATAAAAACAACTCATGTACTCTCAAAATGTGATTCTAAAAACTTGACCCATATGTCCTCCTCCTCCTTGTATACGTCCACGTCTCCGTCTGCATCCTCTTCATGAATTCTGAGGATATCCAATCACCTGCCAACAAGCACTAGCCTAATAATTCGTCTTTCTGCAATGAGGACATAGTGCACAAGTCCGGTTGCCTTCGCTGGTTCCTCTTTCCTGATTCTTTTGTGGTTAAACATTCTTCTCAGATTGAGCAGCATACCCCACAGCGTCTACGCGTGCACTTTGTGCTCTAACAATGGATCGATGAGTCTCTTCTTGCATTATCATTCATACACCCTATTCATTGCGTACACCTTATTTAAAAAACAGTTATAATTTTTAGATTATTTTTTACCAAACAAATCTTATCAAATGAATTTTTTTTATTTTTTATTCTGAAAATATAAAAATTATTTTTTAAAACAGATTTCAAACAGACCCTAAATCTTTGTATTCTTTTCCTCATTAATAATGACTTTTCAATTTTTTTTTAATTTGTATCACAAATCATATTTTTACTTACTTTTCATTTTTTTTTATATTAAAATGACAAATTTTGATTTGATTTTTTATATTGTAAATTTTGATACAATACACAATTTGATATATTATCGTATTCAATACAAGACTCATTCCGATATAAATAACCGATATGTATCATTGAGATTCTGAATCCTATCGTATGATTCGTATCATCAATCGTGTATCGTATATACTAAAAATAATGTTATTAAGGTAAAATGATGAAATAGCATCGAATTTAATAACACTATTAACGTAAAATGATGAAAGAGCGCGCAATGTACGTGCCGAAAAGGAAAAGTGAGAGTGTCAACAAAAACAGTTAAAAAAGCACATAATAGCACTGACGTTAAGGTCAAAATTCAAAAACATATTACATAGTTTATCCAAAAAACAAAAAAAAGCATACTGAACATATGCTGGCCAGCGCAGCGTTGATTGAATCTCTGTCTTCTTGAATTGAGTCACTGACTCACTGCTACTATTACTAATTAAACTAATGAAAATATAAAGGATGTAATGATATCATGGGAAAAGGCTCGTGAATTTATTGTGGCCTTGCAGTTCACAAGGGAAAATTTCTCCCGTGCATTACGCGGGACGCTGTTGTTCTGTCTTCAACCGTTGATAGAGATGGGCCAGGCCAGGCACGGCATAGAATTGGGCCACGCTGGGAAAAGGGTTGATTGCTGTCAGCGGTCTCATCTGTCTGCCGAGCTCATTTTCTACGGTGTTAGAATACATATTTTTGGAAGAGTAACCATTTTGCTACGCCTGGCAAAAAAATTTACCGGATTGCTACGCCAACAGTAAATTTTGCTAAAATGTCACGCGGCATATTTCGCTACACTGTGTAGCGAAATATGTTTGCATATAATTCGCTACACAGTGTAGCGAAATATGCCATGTCAGGCTGCACAGTCAACAAAAATGGCACGTGTCAAGCAGGCAGAATTCAAGCATAATTCGCTACACAGTGTAGCGAATTTCTACCTGCTTGACACGTGTCATTTTTGCTGACTGTGCAGCCTAACATGGCATATTTCGCTATACTGTGTAGCGAATTATATGCAAACATATTTCGCTACACAGTGTAGCGAAATATGCCGCGTGACATTTTGACAAAATTTACTATTGGCGTGGCAGTCTGGTAAATTTTTTTGCAAGGTGTAGCAAAATGGTCACTCTCCCCATATTTTTTGTTCAAAAATAAAAAAATATGAAATATGGATGACAATAAATATAAAGACGAAAGTAGCATAAAAATATTATTTTTTACTATATTTGATAAAAATACTATGGAACACCGCCACCAATGTCATTTGAAATATTTCCTACCTAAGATAAGTATGTCCTAACGTGCCACACAGACAACTCCAATGAAGAGGTGGATGAAGACGTTGTTCTGGACAGTGGCTCATCGAACACCGACGTGGAGGGCGATTTTGACACATGTTTGTCTACTGATGTGTGTCATCTTCTGATTCCTTCACTGGAAATTGTTGGAATGCACGATTTGCTAGTGGTAGGTTAATAACCAAAAATTGAATATAATTTTTCACTGGCAATGTTGATTCATTATTACAGATGTGTGCTTATACAGAAGACGAGTGTTCCATTTTGATCTCAAATAAGTCACTATACACATATCAATTGGGCACACCCAGATCAAGAGTTGTCGGTAATGGATGGAGTACAAGTACCTAACTGACAAATGGGTCAAGAGTTGTACAAGGACCATTTATGGGAATTAGGATGAATCTTACGTTTTTTCATACAAGATGGTTGGATTACATGTTGCTATTTTTAGCAAGAGATGTCTATAAGCTGGATCTAAACGATCATTTTGTTGACAACTGGTTGGATCGATCTCGAAAGATGTTCAATAGGGTGTTTTGGACTTTCAAATACTGTGCTGATGCCTTCAATTATTGCAAGCTCATTATCACGTCTTTAGTGCGGCTCACAAACGCACCATTGGTGGAATACTTTTTGAAGCATAGCCAAAAGGCCCGTGAGGAGATGGCCTAAGGTAATCGATACACTAAAGCACTCTGTCAAGCATATGTGGCAAAAAGCTGCCACACATGGGTGACATTTTACAA